AATGTATTCCGGTGAGGTGGTCGACGGTGACAACTACCTATGTCTTTGATGCAATGACTGCCCAGAAGAATAACAGTGACGGGAGGGTCTGATGTTAGAGTTGAGAGAATAACAGTGAAGGGAGGGTGGAGGTGCTTGAGAGAGTGAAATCTCATTACTTGCTCAATGGCATGTTGAAAATACAGAGTGGGTAGACACAAATCAAACCCCCAAAAAATTAATTGATCCAAAGACTTCGATTTCATAAATTCGAATGTAATCCAGGATAAAGTAATCTATGTTCACAATTAACTTTGAAACTTTGCCGGAACACACAAATTCAATGGTGGTTGATACTGGATAATTGATTACTTGTGGAGATTATAAAGCAAGGGGTTGAAGCCTCCATCAATCAGGTGTATAGATTCGTGCCAGATGCAAAATTGGTGACAGAGGCATTGCAGACTTCACCATCTTCTTTCCGATCGAGGACAGTCATGAATCTTAATTATCCCCAATGTTTTTATCTTTTAATTGAAGATTGTATAAATAAAAAGACATAAATGTCCTTATAGACATTACACTTTATTATTTTATCTCTTTGTGTTTCCTATTTTAACGAACAACTGAAATAAAAGTAAGAATGAATAATTACATTGAATTTCTTTCTTTCACTAGGTATAATTTGTTTTTCATTTCATCATTGTTGAGTATCTCTCTGAAATTTAACAATAATTAAAAAATAACAAATCAAATTACAAGTATAAAGGCTTCAATGAATTGTGCAAATTATGGTTCATATTACGAGTAAAAGATCACTGTAAAAAATTGTGACTAGAGGGTCTCCCAAACGAAGATTTACATGCATAATTGAATTAAACTATTGAGTTATATTAAAGTTTATATTCTATAATGACAAGTTTTGTTATTTTTTATTTCTTTAAAATAATAAGCTGATAAATAAACAGTCACTTAATTCGATATAAAATCACAAATATAAATTCGTGAAGTACAACATTTTTCTAAATTAAAATCAAATTATTAGGAGAGAAAATAGAAGGAGGGATAGAAACCTAAAACAATAAGAAAAAAAGGGAAAGCGAGAGAAACGCGGAATCAAGATAAAAAACTACAAAGCCTTTTAAGACATACAAATAGTATAATTTTAAATTTTTATTTGTGTATTGTTGCTATTAGCACTAATAGAACCTTTTATTTGTGTAATTTAACAGTTGTGTTTGTTTACTAACATCATAAGCCCAACTGAATGATTAAGCAAAATAAGACGCTCCGAATAAATTAAAAAATCACAAAGAATTCAACAAACCATTTAATTAGCCCTTAAATTTCAATTTTTAAAATTTTATCAACACGGTGAGATCAATTAGGTTTTTTTTTGGGTAGGGATTCAATTGAGATTCATATGCCCTAATTGAATGTTTTCTGTATCCTTGTGATAATATGAGAGAGTAGATTTTTTCATTTTTTAGTACTTATTTAGGAAAGTGTGGGAGAGAAAAGGTAAGTTGGTGAAAGGGAACTGACGTGGGTAGGGTTTACAAGAGCAGGCCATAATGAATTTCAACGGCAAATAAATAACGTATTCAAATCTTTATTTTTTTATTTTTCACGATGTGTATCACTATTCAAAATTTTAATTTTTAAAAACACTCTTAAAACAAATTTTATTGTTTCCGAAATAACAAAAACACTATTTTTGGATCAAGAAAAGCAACAATGATAAGCACATGCATTTCATACCCACGAGCTGTGCCAAAAAATGGGCTAGAAAAATTATGATTGGTGTGGGACAAGGGGAGCAAAGCAATGAGAGTTTCACCGAATGTGAGGAATCTGAGGATGAGTATTGGTGTGGGACCAGGGGGAGCAAAGCAATGAGAGTTTCACCCAGTAGCATAAAAATAAGCTAAGTATTTAAAATACAATATAAAACATAATATTTCAAATATTATTTCTAACAATACATAATAATAATAATATATTATATAATATATTGTTACCATATTTAAGTTTACCTGTTTTACTTGTTCACTACACATAATTACTTCTATATAAACTCCTTTATATTCACTAACAACATATCAAAACATGTTGGTTTCTTAAAACGTGAAAGTTTTAATAATTGTAGTTTTTTTTTTAGTAATTTGCTCTAATAAATTTACCTTTGTTAATTGATTATGAGGTGTCAATTTCTGAAAACGCGAGGAGAAAATTGTTTGGTATATTTATAGTTGTATTCTTGTATAAATTGTCATCTATCTTCCAAAAAAACGTTTTAAAGAATCATTATATGCTATATGAATAACATAAAAAAATATTGTCACTGTGTCCGACTGCATGGAATTTTAAATTGTCATTTAAATTCACCTCGAACTCACTTGTCTCTTCTCAATCATGCATTAATTGACGCGGGAAGTACTAAAGTTCGACTAAGTTGTTTTTGACTCATTATTATAATTTACCATTCTAGCATGAGTAACTTTTGTTGTGAGATACTTTGCAATGAGATTATGAGAGCCGCAAATTGTTAGCCATATTAGTGTATTTGTGAACTTAATTTATGGATTAGTGATTTTATTTAGTTGATGGTGTTAAGTTATTAAAATTAGGTAAAATGCATTAAACCCCCTTGAACTATGGGGGTTTTGCAACTAACCCCCCTGAACTTTCACTTGTTTGCAATTTGCCCACTCAGGCCACCGGAAAAGATAAAAGACAATTTTACCCTTATTCAAAACTACATCGTTTCTATCTCCCTCTCTCTATTTCTCTATGTGTGTATATATTATAAATATATAGACAGAGAGGAGAGGGAACACATCGATCTCGCCGGCCAGTTATAACGCCACCTCGTTCTTGTTGTCGTTGACCGGCGACATCGACGGTAAGCAGTCGTCGTCCTCGTCGGCGTTCCAAATCACCAACATGTCCCATGTGTCCCGCGAAGAACAGAAGTAAAGGCGGCAAAGACCCGGGCGGCGGAGATGGACCATCACAGCCGAGTCCTCACCGGACGACCTTTTCATAGCCGACCTCTTCACGGCAGCAAACGACGAAAGCAGATCTGACTACCCAGTGTTGTCGAAGGTGCAGACGGTGATGGACTCCCGTAACTCCTTGTGCCACACCCAGCGCGTCCTCACCGCCTCACCAGTAACTCCTTGCGCCGCTGTCCTCTGTCCTCATCGGCGCCGTTTCTGGGTTAGACGGTAACAAAAAACCGTACCAGTTGCAGAGTTCGTGATTTGGGGATTTTTTTTATTTTTTATTTTATTTTTGGTTGAATATTATTTGGGGAAATTTGGCAAAACCATGATCAATTTTATTTTTTTGGTTAGGGTGGATTGGTTGGGCAGAATGGTGACTGTGGAGGTTTTGGGTGGAGAGCGGTGATGGTTTTAATTGGTTGAAGGTGGTGGTGGACTGGTGGTTATGGGTTGGAGGTTTCGGACGGTGGAAAGGATGAAGGCGGCCTCGGCAGTTTCAGCTTTGGATGATGTCGGCTGTGATGCAACGGCGGTGATGGACTGGCGAGGGCTCGGCCGTGAGGAAGAAATGCGGCGGTGGAGTGGACCGGCCGGCAAGGATGAATCCAAGCTTCTTGTTCTGTAAATGGGTTTTGATTTTTTAATTTTTTTGTAATTTTGAAATTTTCTTGTTCTGTAAATGGGATGAATCCAAGCTTCAATGCCTTGGATCGTTTCAATTCTAATGCCAAAGGACCAGTCACGAGCATCTGTAAAACATACAACATATATATATATATATATATAGATAGATGTATACATATATTGGCAGATATATACTGCACAGATCGATGAGGGAGACGGACAAAACGTTAGGGCTTGTTTGGATACTAGTTGGGTCCAAATGTCTTTAAAGGTTATTATGGTCTTTTTACATTCCATAAGGGCTCTATGGTCATTTAGAGAAATATGGGCTATCACATGGTAGAAATCCATCGGCCAGTTGCCGGATTGGGGTAAAGTGTAACCAAACAACATACTTCAGGGGGGTTTTATGCTACTTTATAAATTCAGGGGGGTTTTTTGCTCATTAAGGTATAATTGAAGGGGGTTTAATGCACTTTACCCTTTAAATTATTTGGTATTGTTGTGCATTGTTCCAGATAAAAAGAATGCACTGAATTTAAGTAGAAGGTTAGAGACTTTTGTGTTTAAATTTGGGGGCGTAATAGATTTTGTCTTGGTATTATAAAATTGGATCAAATTGGACATTTACAACTTTACTTGTCATTAGGTTCTTTACGTACGTATCATGAAAATTAATAAATTATATCTAATGTCATATTTAGTAGTATTGAATCAGTGCATTGAATTTCAAATTTAAAATATTTGATACCGTTAAACACTTAGTCACACAATCCTTCTCGATAAGTATCGCTCCCATTCTCATTCTCTACATGCGCTTTCGCTCAAATTCTCTCTGTTTATGATTTAATTTTGCTAGTCTCAAGCTTTCGCTTTTGATCTCACTTTATGTGGCTTAGGTTAAACAAATCGTAAGGGTTTTAAAAAGAATAGTTATTGAATTTAATTTATGAAAGTAAAGTGATAAACTCCGCTATATAATGTCATATAAGAATACGATGTAAGTGGTGGACTCTTACATAAATTGAATTCGATACTTGATAATTGTGTCCTAAATCAATGTTCTTATTAAAAAAAATAAAAAATAACTCTGTGGATTAAATTTTAAGATACGTTAATTTTTTATGCATCTGATGTAGAGAATGAGTGCAGATGTTATTCCATAAAAAATTACTCCCAAATATGCTATCCTCCACTAATCGCCAAGAGGTTCTTGCCAAGTCAGTGACTCAACCGAGTTAACCCGTCGATTATTTGAAATTCGATTTTGAACAACCTGTCCTCCATACGGAGTATTTTTTTTCCGCCAATCCACCGTATGAATTAGAATATATTCGTAATTTAAAGTCCATACTTTATTAAATTCACTTTAACACTGTAATCTTCATTGGCTCTAACGACATCAATCTGTATTTGTGAAGCTTCTTTTGCTGCGGTTATATTAATCTTTCCTCATTCCGCTCCTTCACGCCCAGTCTCTTTCTCTCTCATCTTTTTCATCCGATTCTCTCTCCTACTTTAATTTAACTTTTCGTGCCACGCCGCGAAAACTTCCATATGTATTCTCAACCAACTATGAAACCCTAGAAAAAATTGCCAGTGTTGTTGAACTGTCTCAGTCTCGGCGTCGGCTCTTCACCAGATCTAGAGCCCAACGAGGTAAGGACGATCCGCACCCTTTTTCTCTCTAAATCCATTTTTATCTCTCTTAATTTTCTTAGACCGACACAGAGTACCCTCACAATGTTCGATTTTTTGTTTGAGAAGCTGCATTTCGAACTAGATCCAAGAACGACCCCGTGTGTCCAAGTACAGTTGTTACTGTTCTCAAAGCTATCCGTGAATGTATAGTATCGGACTTGTAAGTAGCTTTTTGTTTTCTTTAAGGGATGTTGTTTTTTCTTTAGCGTACTATATGTATTTGTCGAATGACGAATATTTTTTTAAATTAAATTTTTTTTTTTATCAATTTTTTTAGTTGAATTAACTGGTGGAATTTTAAAGAATTCTTTTATTTTTTTATCTCCCTATTTTTTGTTGGAAGAACTTTGGTACAAATTTACTTGATTTATGCTGTTTGCGCTTGAATGTGTTTGGACGAGTCATTTAGTTATTTAATTATGGTAGCTGAGATTTTTAAACTAAAATGGACGATTCACTTATCAAGATAGCTTAAGTGGAAGTTTTATCATTTAGTTTCTTCTTTCTCCACTTAAATTTTAAAGGATTGAATAATTAAAGTATAAATTAATTTCCTTTTTATTCTCTTCCAATTATATTGGAAATCAGTTAAGAGGATTGATGCAAATTTACTCGATTTTACCCTGTAACTGTTATCCGATTGTGTTTGGATCAGACAATTAGTTCTTGAATTGCTGGAGCTGGGGTTTGCACCAAAATGGAGGATCCATTAGTTCATTCCAGCAAAGAATCGGTGGAAAAGCCCCAAAATCTAGGGTTAAAGAAGCAATCTTTGGCTGAGAGTGTGAAAGGAACATCAAAAATTGTAAGATCACGTGTTACGGAGACGACAAAGGCATCAGGACCAGCTGGGTCTACCAGTAAGAGAAGGGCACCGAAGAGTGATTCAGATTTAAGTTTGAATGTGGTGAAATCAACTGGGACAAAATCAACAGTAACTGGTTCTTCACGGAGTTCGGATTCAGTTCCAGTAACTAGAAGGACCAGCACTGGTGGTTTGCCTGAGAGGCAACCGCTTTCCACTACAAAACGGCAAAGTGCTGTCAGTTCAACCATGGGTAAAAAGGCTAGCCCTTTGGCCTTGGAACCGTTGAGACGGTCCCTTCCGGAAGTTCGAAGGAGTTCATTGCCTTCAGTTGTTACCAACACTCCTCAGCGGGCAACCATTTCGGAGACTCGAAAGTCACTTCCTTCTTCGACCACTACTCGAACTTCCAGAACATTGCCCAATTCTGATGCAATCAAGCAAGATTCTGTTAAGAAGTCTTCATTGAAATCCCCGTCCTCTGTTTCCTCGGTTTCTTCTTCAAGGAGAGTTTCTTCTGCATCGTTAGACAGCACAGCCAGCAGCTCCAATAGGAAGGTGGTTCCAAAGGTCTCTTCCCCATCGTCTCGGTCAGGTTCAATTACAAGTAGATCAAAAGTTGGGTCTTTGTCCTCGTCGTTAGACAGGAGTTCTAGTTTATCTGGTCGGAGGAAAGCAGCGACACCAGAAAGCCGGGATTCTCGTTTTATTATACTTCCGCAGGTGGAAATTAAAGCTGGCGATGATGTGGTAAGCACTGCTGTAACAAACCTTTTAAGCATGAATGTTGGCATGAATTAGTTCTGTATCAATTCATAAACTGGTCAAAGCCCGGCTGCTTTGACAGGGAAATGTGCCAAGTACCTTTTTTTTTTGATAAGTAAAAAATGTGCCAAGTACCTTATCCTTTTTTTTTTTTCTGTGTGTGTGTTCGCGCGCGCGCGGGGTGTGGTGTTCTGTTTCAAGTTGTAACTAGACCTGACGAACCTTGTTCTTGGATGGGTATGGGGGTTCTGTGAGAACTAAAAACTGCCAATTGTTAGATTTATAATAACAAGAAGATGGTTTAGTCCATTTTCACGTTTAAGCATGGATTTAAAAAGGTTATGCATATAAAATGTGTATTAGCATGGTCATAATAGTTTAGTTGGATTCTTCCTGGAGAACACTTGATATAGAACCAATAATTTCTCTGAGGGGTTGAGAAACAGATGAAGGGGATGAAAAATATAGTGAAAGGATGAGACTAGACGGACTGAGGGGTTGGGAAAGCAAAAAACACAAGAGGGATTCTGTAACCTAAATATTTTTCAATAATCAAAATATGCTTTGCTATGGTACACAACCTTTTATAGGCAAAACCCTAAATAAGCAACCCTAAAATAAAATAATTTAAAATATCAAATAAACAAAAATCCTGCAATGAAAATACTAAAATAACCCCAACAAAATGTCCATACGCCTATGTTTGGTGTAGGTGAAAACTCTTCACAGTCTCCATCAACAGGCATTAGTGTCATCATCATTAATTTGCTTCAAGTTGTACCTTTCACCTTTCAATGCTTCTATTCAAGATCTTTTATGGTGTTTTGGTTCTTATAATTCTTAACTTAAAATTTTAAAGATATCTTTACTTGAACATTTCGAGTCAAGAACTGAGGATGGACTAGTTACTTAATTGAAGGTCAATTCAGGTGGACTTGAAAAAGATCAATGTATTTTTTCATAGTAGGAAGTAAAGTGGTTGACCCTGTTCATATGGGATTAAGGCAAGGATGATGTTGATGATTTTCTAAAGTAGTTTGGTGCAGCGTCTTTGTAAAAGGATCTACAAGGTTGCTCTCGAAAAAAGTCCTGGTCAACCTCTATTTGCTTAGTCCTGTCCGATTTTTTTGGAGTAACAGGCCTAGTGACATCCATACCCCACATAGCAAAATATGGCTATATTTACCTTATGCACCGCAAGTCACAGGACTCTGCCATTAGAGTTTTGTATTGAGTTTACGGATTTGAATTCTCCCCTAAAATTCAATGGTCAAACCGTACTTGAGAGAAGATCATTAATATATTCTAAAAACAATTTAATCTGTAGCTAAAATGGAGAATACACTAGGGTGAAGATTTCAGGACGTGTCTATGAAATTGTGCATCTCTAGGGAAGAGATGTAAAGAGAATATATAGACGGATTCTTTTGAATTTGCTAGCTCCAGAAGATGAAAATGTAATGTTATCTTGCACTTGTGAACATATCAACTCAACCCAAGTATTAAAGCTACAATTGATATGCTCTGATATCAATTATTGAAACATAAGATTGTTACTCAAAATATGTAAGCAATGGCTTGGACCTAAAGGGAAAGTGAATAGGTCTTATGGATATTAATCTCTAATTTCTGTTATTTCTAGTTAGTTGTTCTGACATTCATCACATGCACAATCATGCATCCATAAAAAGTAAAGCAGAGTAGAGACCAAAATTTCACGTGAAAAATCCTAAAAGGAAAAACCACATGACTAATGACTTAGTCTAGCCAGGAGGAATGATCCACTATATGAGTAAGAATTTACAACTAGAGTAATAGTTTCCACACCCTAGAACCCTTAGTTACCTCTTCACTGATTGACATCAAATTTATCATTCAAGTCTCTAGGCTATATTTCCACCCATCAAGAGACTTTGCCCTTCACAGAAACGTTTCTCTAATGATTGTCCATTCTTCTGCTCAGAAATCTAATCTGTCCCCTGCTCACTCGCTTAAGTCCGTGTTGAGACTGTTTGGAAATGACACCTACTACCAGTCATGCTCTACTGTGACAAGCTCAACGCTACTTACAAGGCATCATATCATGTCTTCCATGCTCGTAGCAAGCATATTGAGCTTGATTACCACTTCATTTTGGAACTTGTTCTCCCTGATAGCCATTGTGTTTAATTTGTTCCTTCTGTTGACCAAACTGCAGATTTCTTCACTAAGGAGCTTCACATGCATCACTTTGAGCTTCTGCGTTCCAAACTCGTCCTCCTAGACCATTGAGTTTGTGGGGGAGTGTTCCCCTAGATTTTGGCTTGATTAATACATGTAATATTCGTATATCTTATGTTACATATGTTTAGGTTGCAACTCCCTTAGATTAAGGTTATTAGGCTTGAATAATGCTTGTATATTTGCATATCTTCTCTTAGATATGTTTAGGTTTATTTATTGGCTAAACTTACATGTAGCCTAGTTTTAGGCTTGCCTTTGTACATTTATTTTTATGGTTCCATGTAACACGTGTAAATTACCCTATTGGAATGAATACAATGGTGGTGAATTTTCACAATTCTTTTTAACTCTCTCACTTGTTAATATACACATCATTCTTTTGTGCTTCTTCAATCTTTCACTCTCTTAATTTTTTTTTCTTTTCTATATCTTATCAGAGGTTGGATCTTAGGGGTCATAGAATTCGAAGTCTTAATGCTAGTGGGTTGAACTTGTCGCCAAATTTGGAGGTAAGTTGAGTAATATCTATTCTTTATGTCTTTTTGAAGGACAGGGTTCTTGACGTATCCTCATTTCTATTCGTAAATATCTATTTCTTATATATAAAATATTGGATACTTATTACTGATGAAGTAAATTTTTTTGGAGGTAAGTTGATCAAATATCTATGCTTCCTGTCTTTTTGAAGACCAAGGATCTTGTGTACTCTCATTTCTATTAGTAAATATCCATTGTTCTTATAGAAAATATTGGATGCTTTAACTTTTGTTGTTGATGAAGTATATTTTCTTGGTATGTCGTTGGATTATTTATTGAAGAACTTCTAGTACACAGTTTTGATCTGCAACCAAGCACTTATGCTTAACTTAACAATAACACGTGTTCATTGCTTTTGTTGTTCATTAGGAGATATTTCTACTTTGGATTGATTATTGATGTAACACATTGTAAGACATACTTCTTTGTTGTTCTATGGAGTTATGTAACAAGGACAGTGGCAGGAGTGTCTTGGAATTACTACAAAATTTGTTGAAGCTCTTGTAGAACAGTAGGATTTACCAAATATTAATAACTAAAACTGAACAATGGAATATTACATTAAAATTTTCAGTTACAACAGTACTTATTTGAGTATTTCCAGAATAGAAGGTTTTGATATCCGAATCTCCTTGTTAAGGCCACTAGTTTTTGATTGTGAATCGGTCTAGAAGGGTGACCACTTAATCTACAATCGTCATGTTTTCTGTTTTGTGCAATTTAATTGTTCAAAATTACTTATGTATTGGAAAACTATTATTGAAAATTTGAATTCTTGTTTCTTAGCAGTATCATGATGGAGGGCAGGTATTGCTTGCTCCCCACATTTCTGGCTTTTTGAATAATAATAGTTACTTTTGAAATAATTTTTTTGGCAGTTTGTTTATCTCAGAGACAATCTCTTATCCACACTGGAAGGTATTGAAATACTGAAGCGGGTTAAGGTACAGTTATGAAATTCCTTTTTGTCAGTTTGACAAGAAATTGAACAGCTAGTCTATTGGACGTATTTTTGAGTTTCAAAATGAACATGATCATATACTTATATTTTCATGTTTTCAGTGCTGCAAGTTGTTAGAGCTTTTATTTTAACATTTAATATATATATATATATATTTGATGACTGAAGCTTGACAGCTTAAGCAATGTTATTTGCTTTCCAGGTTCTTGATTTGAGCTTTAACGATTTCAAAGGGCCTGGATTTGAACCACTTGAGAATTGCAAAGTCCTACAGGTCTGTGTGTTTCATATATATTGATATCTTATGAGGCATATGATGGAATGTGGTATTCTAGTTTTTTAACAAGCAATAACGTTCTTCAATAATTTATTATTCATGTAGCAACTATATCTGGCTGGGAATCAAATCACATCACTTGTAAGCCTGCCTGAGCTTCCTAATTTGGAGGTAAACATTTGAGTATTGTTTGTGGTTTTGCATTCTAGCGTTGCGTTTCAGAATCCATTATTGTTGTAAAATTTGTATTAATATTGTTTATTTTTTTCTTTTCCCAGTTTCTGTCTGTTGCTCAAAATAAGTTGAAGACTCTTTCAATGGCTAGTCAGCCTCGACTGCAGGTTTGCTTGTTCCTTTATTTATTCGATGCTTGATACTTCCATATATTCTTGTATAGTCACTTCTTGTTGACAGGTACTAGCTGCCAGCAAAAACAAAATATCAACTTTGAAGGGTTTCCCACATTTACCGGCTCTCGAGGTAGTTATTGATGTCTAACCTGAGTGCAATGTTGTTACTAAAGCAGTTTTCCATGTCTTTTTAACTCGTGCACACAAACACATGCTCATGGCACACAGAGGCATACTAATTTTATTTTATCCCCCCCCAATACTGTTGTGGGTGCTGCAGCATCTGAGAGTGGAGGAGAATCCTATACTTGAGATGCCTCATCTAGAAGCAGCTTCTATTTTGCTTGTTGGCCCAACTTTGAAAAAGTTCAATGATAGAGGTATGCTGAAATGAGCTAATTTCTTGGTTTTTGGAATTTCAGCTATAATTTTGTTTATATGTGCCTCAAAACTGCCTTTTTCTTTGTTTCATTCTTGCTTTTCCCTGATTTTTTTTTTCTTTTTAATTGTCCTTTACGTATATATCATTGAAAATTCTTAAAGATCTTTCTCGAGAGGAGTTGGCAATTTCCAAGCGATACCCTGCTCACACTTCCTATTGCATTAGAGGCGGTTGGGAGTTTTGCCGTGCAGAGCATGCAGTTGGTTAGTTTCTGAGGACTCGCTGTTGCTTTCATGATTGATTCGTGTATTATCTACCCAAATCATACACTTTTTCCCACTCAACAAATAAAAGAACTGGTTCACTCATCATGTCATTCAGTCAAATTCAATTGATTCCACCATAATGTGTGCTGAGTTTGGGTTTTGATGTTGGATTTAAGCAAGTGTACATTTGTATTGAGGTGAGCATATGATTGTTATTTTTGTTGGGTATTGTACCTTCTAATTACTATTTACCAATATCAAAGATTTTGGCTGTGAATGGATATTGTTAGGTGAAGCACTTACATAAATAGAAAAGAAGGGGAAGTGAAGCCATTTTTTCCATGAATAAGTCGCATAGTATGTAAGCAGTAGTGCTGCACACGCATATATATATATATAATTATATATATATATATTTATGTGTATATATTTAGAAGTGTAACAAAGTATTTATTGGTGCAGACATTGCAGATAAATGCTCCTCTATGTTAGTATATTAGTGGTCCTTGAATGAGTTTGACCTACCCATCTTTTCCTTATGATGGTAAAGTAAAGCACTTTATTTTTTTAAATTAAGTAAAGTTCCTGAATTCGCTATCCTGTGGTTTGTGGTTGAGGGGAGGGACATAATCCATTGCCAATTTGAAAGCAATGACTTGCTTGACTTTTGAGTCAAAATCTTTGACTAGTGTTGACCACCATCTGCTCTAAAAGCTTAAGCTGTTAGAGAGGGTGTAACTTTGATATTTAAATCCTTCAACACGCCACATCTTCGCTCCAACACGTATTTTCAATTTTAATTATCAGGGTGATGGTGAGGTTTGAACCGAGACTTTTGGCTCTGATACCATGTTAACCACTCTCTACTCTTAAAGCTTAAGCTGTTAGAGAGGGTGTAACTTTAATATTGAATTCCTTCAACAACTACAATGAAGTATCTAGTCTCTAAAGAGGCGTTGTAACCAAAACTTATATTTTCATTTAATCTAAATTCAATCATGATAGACATATTGGTGATCTGTTGATTATTTTTTCTCCACTCATTTACAGGTGTGAAATATGTAGGTCTTCTAGATATTAATTTTCATTATTCCTTTTACAAGCTGTTTTCTTATTGAAAAAGTTATCCATTTGTCTTCTAATCTTCTTATTATTTTTATTTGTTTAATTTTTATACATTTAATATAGTTATGGTATTGTCCGGCAAAGGCTTCGGACCAACTCTAGCAAGCGCTTTATAGTTGTCATTATCAAAAAAGTTATTGTCTTTTCAAGTTACCTGTATAATATTTCAGTGTAAAAGGAGTGGAGTAGCTTCTTTAAGTTTTTTTTTTTTTTTTTACATTGGCACTTCTTTAAGATTCATATTACAACAACAACAGCCAAGCCTTTTCCCAATTACTTGGGGTTGGCTACATGAATCCCATGTTTCCATTCCTCTCTATTTAAGGCCATAGCCTTGGTCAATCTACATCCTATCAGTTCGTTCTTTACTAACTCTACCCATGTTAACCTTGGTCTTCCTCTTCTCCTAGTACTACCCTCTATATGGACTATGTCACTTTTCCTCACTGGCGCACTTAAATGTCTTCTTTGCACATACCCAAACCATCTTAACCTATTTTCTCTCATTTTATCTCCAATTGGTGCTACTCCAACCAACTCCTGAATGTGACCATTTTTAAATCTATCATTTCTAGTCTTACCGCACATTTATCTCAACATTCTCATTTATGCTGCACTCACTTTATGCAAATGTTGTTTCCTAGCTGTCCAACATTCGGTACCATAAAGAATGGCTGGTCTAATAGTTATTCTATAGAACTCCCCTTTCAATCGTAAGGGGATACGCCTATCACACAATATACTAGATGCACTCCTCTATTTAACCCATCTTGTCTTGATTGTTTATGATTCATTATAGTAATATTTATTTATTATCTATTTTCCAGAATAAAATGAAGCAACAACAGTATCTAATGCTGATTTTCCCTGCATAAAGTTCGAAAATGACTCTGGAAAAACTTGTTTTTCGCACTTACGATTGATAAATGGTAAATTTTGTAAGCTCTTTTATTCAAAGGAGAATTTAAGCAATCTTCTGGTTATTCAAGCTTTACAATAATCGCACATTTCCAGTAAGATGGTATACTTTGTTGGCTGGTAATTTCTTTTAGACTTGTGTGGCTATATATTTTCTTGATCTAACATTATCATTTGTCGCATGTTGTGTACGTTCTTGGGGTTCGAGACTATTTAATGTGACTTAATTTTTCAGTCATGGATAAAAATGTGCAGAAGTATCATAATATTGTCGTCGTCATCGTCATCATCATAATTGTTGTTATTCTCATTATTGCTGTTATATCTCTGTTCTCTTTTGCACTCTCTCTCCTTAAATTTATGGTCCCTTGAACAGATTCAACGTTTCGGTTTCTTGTCGAACAATGGAAAGATCAATTTCCTCCAGATTATCTGCTCAAGGAAGCATATGTGGATCAACCATTTGAAGAAGATGCTTGTTGCTGCCATTTTAATTTCATCAAAGACAAAGCTGGGAGCAGTGATACAGAATTAGTGTTGAAATATCAATGGTTTGTTGGAGAGAGAACTCCTTCAAATTTTACAGCTATTCCTGATGCCACTGGCGAAGTATGGATTTTTGCTGTTTTATTACCATCTGAGCTTCTGAATATTACCGTTTTCTTTCTTCTTGATATTTCATCATGCTGATAACTCTATGATGGCAAGGTGTACTGGCCAAAGCACGATGACATTGAAAGAATTCTGAAAGTGGACTGCACTCCCATGTTAGGAGGGACTGAATATCCCTCAATTTTTGCTATTTCTTCGCCAGTTTCAGCTGGTAGGGTTTTCTCCGTAATCTAAAATGAATAGTTTCTGTTCTGACAGTCCTCCAGTTTAAGCCTTTTGGTGTGGTTGGGGAATTTTTAGTTCCTCTCTGTGTATATCATATTTATGGCTTCTGATTCAAATAAATATGGGCTAGAGATGCAGCATGATAATACAAAAAATTTAACAGTTTTTGAGGTAATTTCAAAATACTCGTGGCAGAATGTCAATGAATGTCGCTTCAAAAATCAATCCAAAGCAGAAATATCTCCTACTTAAATTACTGATGGCAAAAAAAAAAAAAAAATAATAGATACTAAAAGCAAAAGAGTATGCAAAAAAAATCTAATTACTGAAGTTCTCTACTTTCATTATGTCTCAACACTGATGTACGATTGTCCCATCTCTCCATAAACCACAAAGTAGCACATCATGCTTAAGGTCATTTTCCATCCAAAGCTCAAAAAATGACAAAAAGTTTCCGAAGTACTTGTTAGCAGTTCTATAGATGGCAGCCATAAAACTCGTAATTGCTCAAACACCCCATGTAACATCCTGGAAATATTTTCCAAGATTAGGGTTAAAAACCCTACGTAAGACTTAAAATACACTTAAAACTCTTAAATTACAAATCAGGGGGAAGATAGTCATTTTATAGCAAATTTGGATTTGGGTCAATCGAACTCAAGATGGATCTATTGAAAGCAATGAACGGCAAGAGGGGGGGGAGATTCCCCCTTTAGAGGTGACTTCTCCCGCTAGGCAATGTGGGACGTCACAGTTGGAGTGGACAAGTTTTTATGTAGTGTTTTGTGATCCATATGCAGTTTTAACAGATATAAGATCTGCAGTGGTTTATGATACAAATGTTAAGCTATTGAGAAGCATTGATGTCTACACTGGTAAATATCCTTACAAGAATACGATGTCCATTGGAAACGAGGATGTTAAGATGGACGCTTGCCAAGCCAAGACCAATCCAAGAAATTATTAGCATGGAATAAATGCATTGACAAAAAGCTGAAGTGTTAGTGACTAACCGAAAAAAAAGAAACTGAGGTATTAGCGATTGAGGATGGCTTGAGAACAAGTACTTTGAAATGGATAGGCTACGTGAAACAAGAACTAATGACTGCTTCAACGAGGAACAGTAATTTGGGCCAGGTTAAACTGGTAAAGGGTGTAAAATTGCAAAAAAAGAATTGTTTGGGTTTATCAGCTGGCCTATTGTTCAATCAAAGATCACCCTTGAACAAGTTGTAAGGCAAAAAAGATTTATCAGCTGATATAAATAGTTTGGGTTCCACTTCAATTGAGATCTTTTGATTTCCGTTGGCTTCTTCAGTCATGATTGCTATCTTTCTCAGTTGTTCATTCTAGTTACATCTTATTTTTCTCTTTCTTAATATTGGAACGAACTTATCTGTCATTGCATTGTTGTACATGTTAGTTAAAAGAGTGCTCATATGGTGTGTGCCTCCTGAATTTACCCTTGCATTCATTGTTAATTTTCTTTTCTACAAAGGAACTGGATGTCCAAAGGTTTTGAAGATTGATGTGCGTGGGGAACTAGTGGAGGGAAACACCATCAGGGGTTATGCAGAAATTGCATGGTGTGGTGGGACTCCAGGGAAAGGTGTTGCTAGGTGAGTTTTTTTATTTTTATTTTTTATGTTTATTTTTATTTGAAAGGTTGCAGGTATATCACTCCATCAAAGTCTAAAAGTATGATTGTCCTCCAAAAGAGCCTTTTAACGCCTCTGGGATGCAGCTAATAATCCAACTTTTCTCCACAATCTCCAGTTGGTTAAGGAGAAAATGGAATAGCAGCCCGCTGGTTATTGTTGGTGCAGAAGATGAGGAATATCGGCTGACTCTTGATGATGTTGATTCGTGTTTGGTTTTCATGTACACTCCTGTAACGGAAGAAGGTGCCAAAGGAGAACCGCAATATGCAATTACAGATTATGTCAAACCAGGTGAGAGGTGGATACAAGTTCTGTGCATATAATGTTCATTATTATTATTATAATTACTTGTTTCAACACAAGCAAATATTTTGGTTCAGACCATCACATGATATCTTGAATGAGATTGTTACAGTATCAACCTTAGAAAGCTGTTCCTAGATTATTGTTATAAATGATGGAAACAGGAGAAAAAGAGTCGTCTCTGAACTATGCTAACTTATATACTAAACATAAATTGAAATCAAATCTTTTTCTGTACATTACAGTTGTCCCTTTCTTCTAGTATTTAGAAGCCTTGCTTGTATTTTTGTCGAACATGTCAGTTAGGGAGCTATTTTGAGACAGTTTCCCATTTGTTTGGTGATGAGCCAAAGTAGTCAATAACTTCTGAATAAAAAGGGTAATTCAAGTCATAATAGTTTATTCAGCCGTTTGGTTTTGATCTTAAATCCTAAAATAAAGTAAGCACCTGAACTTTTTTTACTAACAATTGATGACTGCAGTCCTTCCTTGAAATCAGACTTAAAAAAGATTTGATCAAGGTTGCTGTATGAGTGGGGTGGTCGTGGGACTTATGGTTTAAACTCATGCTCTGAGTACTGAGGGACTATCCATTCTTCTCATGTAGCTCTTTTGCATTTACTTCAGAGTCCCTTTGGTTATCCAATTGACAGCATTTGTAAATATATAGTTTCCTCTGCAATTGTATTTGGTTTTGATCTCTTAAATGTTTTTTTTCGGTAATTAAGTGAATTGTGTTAATGATCTCTTAAATGTTGCTCACATTAACTCCTTTTTTATTATCTCAGAGCAGAGCACATTGGAGTTCAACACATAACATTGCAACTTATCTGCTTTTACTACTTTTCCTAAAGGACACATGTTGCTTATACTCTCTCTATGCTTTTCCTCTTTGTCTCCCTTCTCCCTTTATCCCTTCTGGCATTTCCTTGCTTTAACCAATTACTAAGTCAATGAAATGAGTATCTTCCTATTGGCAGCTCCTCCGTCAGTCGATAATGTGCAAATTATTGGTGTTGCTGTCGAAGGAAATACCATTAGAGGAGTTGGAGAGTACTTTGGAGGAAGAGAAGGTCCCAGCAAGTTTGAGTGGTTGCACGAGGACATGGATACTGGGTTAGTATCTTGTTTACCATAATGCTGTTGGGTTCTATTGGAGGACTGACTGTTAGGTCATATCTCAATGAATTAATTTGACCATTTGTTTCATTTAATAAAGATAATAGTGCAAAATAGGTGGTCCACACGGATTTTATGGGATTGCTATTTCATTGACTTTAATAATGTGAAGGCACGTAGACTAGGAGTCAAATTATTATTGTTCTTTTTCAGGTGGATTGTGGTAGTCTGGGATTTGAATTCCATGCAAATTATTTTGTAGTTTTATTAATGAGTAGTCATTTTGTTACTTATCAAAAAAAATGAGTAGTCATTTTGTTGATTTATGATTTGGGCAAGCTTGGTCATGATGTGTGTAATCCAGGCTGGGCCCAAATTCTTCTTCCTTCTGATTTTTGGGCTGAAGATGTGCTTTTGAAATTCCGGGCAATATAGATTTGTGGTTTTATGATACTAAGTATATTTTGTATAATCAAGCCATGGAGGTTAACTCATCTATAATGGTTTTCAGACAATTCATTTGGTACCATTCTTTCTGGCAAGCACCTTTCCTTCCCAGCACCCTGCTTATACAGTAATGACTCTTTTTTTTTTTTGGCAAGCATTCTTGGCTATACTAGTGTTATTTACTCAACATTTTTTTATTCCTTTTAGGTCTAGCCTAGTCTCCCAATTGGATTTATAAAATGTCTGTATGTGCTTATATATGTAGTTATATTTTTTTATGCATGTATTTGTGGATACAAGAAAATTCAGATAATTGGACTGCATGATGGATGTGTATTCTCAGTGTGTGAGGAAAGTACATAGTAGAAAAATATGAGAGAGATCCCTTGTTCACGAAATAGATGATGACTTAATCCAAAAGTTTATGCTGTTAGAGAATTGACTGAATAAATTTTATATTCTCACATTCTCATGTGCAAACCCCTCACACAAGTAGGAGGTAGACAGGATAGAAACAGATCGGGTGAACAAATGCAAATAGAGTGATTGAACAGAAAACCTCTTAGAATCAGTGGTGTGATAACATTTTAGACAACACATGACCCAACAGCTCTGTATTAGTGAATGGCCAGAGCTTGAAGGGAATCGAGAAGTTTTGATAGCCCCCTCACTACTAGAATCTTTTCGTGACTCCTAGATGCAAGGATTATCAAGCTCTCACAGTTTGTGTGCGTGCATGCATCACTTATGTGTGTGTATGCAGATGTTCTTTCATGCATTTGTGTCCTTGCATATGGATTGGGCTGACTGCTTGTATAGTCTGCCTGCCATAGAAGTTGTCCTCATTACTGTTGAAAATGGATTTTCCCATTAATTGTGTCAGTCATCTACTTGCTCTCCCTAGAAATTCTTGGCATGTAGAGTTCATTGCTTGGTGCAATCGCAAACTTGAGTTGACAAGCTTGAGGGTGACAATTTGAATTTGAGTGCATTCGCTTTGTGCTGAATAATGTCAAAGGTTAGGTTTGTCTCTGCTTTTTCCCTCTTAGCTACTCACATAAGCAAATCATACATTGGGAAATGCACTTGTTTTACCAACGACAGGCATGTAGGAGTCAGACATATTTCAGCATGATTACATGTTGTGTCATATCTATTGGTTTTGAAATTTCCATGTGACTTGTTCTATTCCTAATGGTCTGATTTGCCTTACCACCTGTTGCTGTCTCTCATCTTGTTGTGTTTGGTTGCTTTGTATTCTTATTATTCTATTTCTTTGGTAAACAATTTTCAACTAGATTTACATTTCTTGAATTACGAGTAAGTTCAACTTTCTTTTTAGGTTGCTTTGTATTCCTATTATTCCATCCTAATTAGTAGCCTTTTCTTTTTGTCTTTTGTGTGGGCCAGAGAATTTGTATTGGTGTCAACTGGTACAACTGAGTATGCTTTAATGAAAGAAGATGTTGGCCGGCGCTTGGCTTTTGTGTATATACCTATCAATTTTGAGGGTATTCCTTCAACTTTGTGGAAGGCTTACACATATAGCTTATTATGTGTTATGCTCATAGATCATTTATATAATGTTTTTTCTGGTTTATTTTGCAGGGCAGGAAGGAAAATCTGTGTCAACAGTGTCTCAGATAATCAAGCAAGGTACTTCGTGTAATTAGGGGCTTATGATTTTTGTTGTGTCCTTCAATAAATTTAATGGATGTACTGAAGTGGTGAATGCATTTTGATACACATACATATCTAAATATTTATTTTCTCAAGAAGCATTTCTTAACCAATGATTGGACTTAACCCAGTTTTGATCCATGCCATTGGAGCTTCTGTTAGACTGTTAATTCTCCTATAATATGTTTCTTTGTACATGATGATCTTACAAAAAATTCTAATTTTTCCCCTAGTGCAAGTGCAAAATATTATATAAATCTAAACAATGTTATGATCTACACGCATCTAAGTTTGCCATTAGGTCAGAAATATTGTTTGCTTTTCTTGTAAAGCCGACGTCCTAACTTTCCTTTTTTCTTTGGCACTATTCCCAAGTCCCTAACATTTGTGAGCAGCAACATCTAAATTAAGGTTAGCAACATGGTTCAGAGCATTCTGGGAAAAATCAATACCGACAAAGATTGATACTGATTTCTAGTTCAATACAAACATCAAGTAGGGGTTTATGTGTTCAGGGTTTAGGGTATTCACTGTTTCCAGTTTAGAGTTTAACATCTCATATTAACCAAATATCAGAAATTCTTTCTAATTAATAAAAGTACTAAGATTTTGTTTTACCGCAACATTAATGTGATATATATATATATATATATAATTGATAAAGATTTAATTTAAGTCTATGTATGGTCCATCCCTCCCAACACCCTCAAATAATGGGGAACACACTTGGTAATGGCCCTTTCATTATTTGAAACACTTTTTGAGATGATAATTGACAAGTGAAATTTCATGCTACCTCCTTCCCAAAATTCGCCTGTTTTCAAGATTCCAACTTTTTAAGGGGAAATTCATTGTCCCCTTTTAAATTCTAGAACTACCTTTTTAAAGTTACAAATTTCACATTGTTAGTTGGTGAAGTTTTGATAAGTTGATATTTTGGAAAATATATCTTATTTATATGGTGACAATGAAGATGGGACATGATTTTTTGACAACCCTTAAATGGAAAAAGGAACAACTATTTTGGGACGGATGGAGTAATACATAAAGTTCTAGGACACTGCTTTATAATTGTTTCCTAATTTCTAATGCAACCTCTTAGAATGCTTAAAACACAATTTCATTTTGCAATGCCTATAACTTGTCTCACTTGATCACACCTTCTCTTATACCAAAAAGAAAAAAATAATAAATAAAAGTTGCAAACTGTACAGGGAGTTATGAAATAGTTAGTATATGCATGATTTTCAAAATCTGATGGCTAGTTGGATGAAATACAGTGGTTATATCCGGCCACTATGCTTAAAAACTTGAAAATCTGGTCTTCTCTTTCCAAGTTTTTATTTTTAATTCTTTTGGAACATGATTTTTACACAAACATTTGATAGTAGAAATGGATTTTTTGTAGAATTGAAAAATGAAAATGGTAAATAGATATTTTGAAATTGGCAAGTTTTAAAGATAAAAAATTGAATTGAGGCGATAGGGGTGATTAAATTCGAAATCGACTATGAAAAGTGGAAAAATTGTAACTCTACAAGACAAATAAGAATCGACTACTTATCAAAAAAACAAAAAAAAAAAAAAGAATCGACTGAGTCCTTTTTTTTTTTTTTTTGGTAAGTAAGAATCAACTGAGTATTTACAAATGGTTTGTGCACGTGTATTGCAGAAAGGAAGAGTGTTTTGAATATTGCCTAAAAGGTGACAGATCCTTCATTTTTTTTTTGTTCTCTTCTATATTCACAATTTTTCTTTTTGAAAAGGAATGCTCAACATGCAGATCTTGCCATTTTCTTTTGCTTTATAGTCCCAAAAGTTGTAGAGTAGGCCATCACAAAAAATCTTTATTGATGGATTTTTCAAATGCCACTAGCGTGCATTGGTTTTGACAGGAAATGAGCAGTCCCTTAAGATTGTCCTGCTTATCTTTTGATTTCGATTTAAAAAATATCTGTTCTCAGTCTTTAGCAATTAATTACTGGTATAAAGGACTGCATATTAGGACGGGTTTGCCTGGGACCTGACTGATCTAGCTTGTGCTAAATGGCAACCTGGCATATATATTGACTCGGTTAGGTTGGGATTTCATTTAGATTCAAGATTGGCACAGAAATGGCAACCTGGCATATATCTTGACTGGGTAGATTGGGATTGCATGTAGATTCAAGACTTACACAGTTGGTGCTAGGTTCAGGGTATTCAAGTCCAACATAGAACCCACTCCAGTTCTAGCCTGAAGACCCAAATGTGTTGTGTATATATTTATGTATATGACACTAAAAAGTTCTAGCTTCTGAAGTCATGAACCAAAATTTGTTAACAAAAATCAAAGATGAAAAATAAAGAAATCTACAGCTTGAGTATCTGTAAAATATTTCTATATATTTAAGCATATATTTATGTATATTAACTCCATGAATTCAATTTTTTTTGACATTCCTTGTTTTCTCAGTTAAATTAAAATTTTCACAGTTTAAAAACCTAACTAGGTTGAGAGGGACTAAACAAGAAGATGAATTTCAGAAATTATGGCTATACATATAGGGTAGTTGACTTCTTCGTACTAGGAAACTGAGTTTGGGTTAACCCTTCTGTAATTTTGAGTACACGATATACATTATTGTTCGTCACTTGTTCCTCTTCTCTTCACTGTGCAAAGCAAACCAAATCATTGCAATTCTAACAAACCCTACACTATGAAGTTTGGGCTTACCTGGGCTTTTGCCCGAACCAAAAATAAACTTGGACTGGGTTAGGACCAATAAGGGCAGGGTGAGTTTGAGCTTGTAATAAGTATGTTAGGGTGAGCCCGAACTAACTTTAACACGATTCGGCGTGAACCTTTAGTTGTTTTACTAGATTTGTCATGCCACATTCATTGTTGAGTTTCTCCTGTTCTTATGCTTTTGTCTTGATCCGTATTCCAGCTCCCCCAAAAGTAATGAATGTGAAAATAATTGGTGATTTGAGGGAGGGAAGTAAGGTCACTGTAACGGGTATTGTCACTGGTGGAACTGAAGGATCCAGCAGAGTTCAGTGGTTTAAAACAAGTTGCTCAACATTGGAGGGTGAGAATGGTCTTGAAGCAGTAAGCACATCCAAAATTGCAAAGGTAGGCGAAGTTAACCTTTGACATTTATCTTCTGGCTTGTATTTTTGGATGAACAATCTAACATTTGCTTTTGATTTTGTTTAGGCATTTCGCATACCTTTAGGAGCCGTTGGTTATTTTATTGTTGCGAAATTTACTCCTATGACTCCAGATGGTGAAGCTGGTGAAGCAGCATATGTTATATCTGAAAGACCAGTTGAGAGTAAGTAAATCTACTATTTTATTTATCAATATCTTTTTGATACTTTGCATGTTGCATTTTACTTGTTAAGATTACAGTATTTAAGATACTGAACAATTTTTAATATCGACTCCTTTAAGAGTAGATATTATAATCTATTAAAGAATAGATTTTTTTTTAATTTTTTACTTTTGACTTCAATGTTCTTTCACTAAAAAAATAAATATACTTTGTGAACCATGAAGAATTTTAAAATTGAGGTTGGCTTCTCTGATTGTCCAGTTTATCTTATTTGTGTGGGATGAACACATTCATCTGATCAATAAACAAGCTATGGATTCTATTTCCCTGATAAAAGTTGATCAGAAAACGAATCCTAGATTGCTACTAATATGTATTTAAATTATTTGCAGCTCTTCCTCCAAGCTTAAATTTCCTATCTATCACTGGTGATTACTGTGAAGATGGAATACTGACAGCATCATATGGGTATATAGGGGGTCATGAAGGAAAAAGTAATTACAATTGGTATCTTCATGAGGTATATTATTTTGTGTATTTTAAGTTGTATAGAGTTTGATTTTGTACTGCGTGAGATCCTTCAATTTTATCATACACAGTATATATGCCCTTAATGTTTTTCCGGAGAAATAAAAAGAGTAATTGTTGCCCCTGAAGGAAAGTTGTTGCAGAAGTTTCGTATTTCAAAAGCTAATATCAAAAGAGAAATATAGTAAAGAATTGCTTCCAAGTCAATGTGGGTATAATTACGGAAAATTGAAACATATTTTTAAAGGTTGAAGATAGACAGTTTAAAAGACTACTAAAGTTCTTGAAAGGACTGTGTTTCTGATAGACAAGAAATGAGAATCTTCTTAGATAAAATAAGTTGTATCGTAGGGCACATTGATGAGGGATAGTTTGTGAATGAGAAAAAGTAGAGAAATAACAAAGCACAATACATTAGTTCCCAATGTCAAAACCATTTATTAAAGAAGCTCCAACTTCCAATTAACAAAAACATGATAAATGTCCATTAAAAAGTCAATTCCATGACTTTGGAACTGAGTGGAGCTACGCTTATGAGTTGGTTAATGGGATCCTAGTGTTTTCTCAAGCTGAAGTATCTTTAGCTTCGGTGAGTCTGCTGAGTTTTGAGTAGTTTAATATTTCAGCCAAGAGGAGTCCAAACAGGTCCAAGCTAATTGGTTTAATTAATTTCCCTACCCACTTTTACCTTTCTTGAGATTGTTTATGGGGTCTCTTGTTAGTGCATTTGTTAAGCCTTATTGAGGTTTCAATGATTCCTTATGCTCTTATATAACAGTTCTATATATATATATATATATATAGAACAGTTATAAGAAGAGAGTACATCTGTCTGAATGGAAAGAAAAGGGGATTCTTACTTTTTTACTGGAGACGGAATTATGATTTTGGGGAAAAATAACAGCCACTATTCAAACACCAACATCTCTCCCATTTTGCCTAGACAAAGAAATATATACATCTTGAAGAAGGTAACGGGATGCGGGGGGATTTTGTAAAATACACTGACCTCCCCTGAGGTTTGGCCTAATTAAAGTAGTTGAGACATTTGCCATATTTTTACTTTTTGAAGTGTTTTTACCCTTTTACCCCTATTATTATATTGTTAAAAAAGCTAAAATATTTAGCTATGTCAAATTACCAGTTTGCCCACATTAAAAAAATACTTTTTTTTCTTTCCTCTCTCTCTCATTCTCTCTCTTTGTTCTCTCTATCCTCTCCACACACCGCCACTATCCCCTTCCATGGGCACCTCTGCCGTTACCCTCAACCACACCTAATAACCAAGAAGAAAGCTCAGCTCAATGCCACATTAAACCCTTACTCGGAAACTGAAATTCCCAAATCCAACCTTGAGTCGGCCACACCATCTTCCAAAATCCCAGCCAACGAACAGAAGATGGGTGAACTCAACCAATCGAAGCAAGAAATCATTCGTGGCCTCTGATTCCTCAAGCAACCCATCATGCTATTTGGAGAAGATGATGAGGCATAAGACAATTATTTTGAGCGACCAGAAGTGTAAGGAGGTGGCGGAGGAAGCAGTGGTGATGAGAGTTTTTCCGGTGTGGATAATGGAAAAGATTTGAAGAGAATGTTGCCCAAATTCAAAGAATTGCCGAAACAAGCCCTAAAATTAGTGAAGAAATTGTATACAAAATTGCGACAGTTGAAGCCCTAGCTGAAACGATTTGTCGATGCTGCTAGCAGTGTTGTGAATCAGCTGTTGGCATTTAGAATTTGATCCATTTCCTGTAGGATTTGTGCTTCAATGGTGCGGCTATCGATGATGGCCGTGGTGATTCGGATCTGATGGTGGGGTTTAACGAGGAAAAAAAAAAAAAATTTGATTGATTCTCTCTCTAGACATGTATATATGTACAAACTGCATATATATTAAATTGGTTCTGCAATCAGCTCTAATTTCTTATAAAACACCGAATGGGTTGGCGATGGTGACGGTGTTGGGTTCTAATTAGGATTCTACAATCAGGACTAATTCCTTATCAAATGCCCGGATGGGTCGGTGATTGTGGTGGTGGTGGTGGTGTCGAGTTTGATTAGGGCTCTGGAATTTGTGTGACCACAAATTCCTTATCAAATCAAACGCCAAATGGGTTGGCGAGGGTGGTGTTGTTGGGTTCCGATTAAGTTCTGCAAACAAGCCGAATGAATCGGTGATGGTGGTGGTGTTGGATTCGATTAGGGCTTTGCAATCAGTGCCACCACAAATTTCTTATTAAATCAAACGCCGAATGGGTCAATGATGGTGGTGTGTTGGGTTCCGAATGGGTAATGGTGGTGCTATTGGGTTCCGATTAGGGCTTTGTAATCAGGACAAATTCCTTATCAAACGCTGAATGGGTTGGTAATGGGGGTGGCATTGGTTCAAAGCTCCGCAGCCGGTAATGGTAGCGGTGTTGGGTTTAATTGGGCTCCTGCTATAGGTGTCTATCACAAATTCCTTCTGAGATGGGTGAATAATATATATATCTATTATATATAACACTGATATATATATATATATATATATATATGTAAGTGAGATTTCTCAATTTGCTTATTAATTCAGAGATGATTTCTATTGAAAAGGATATACACACGCGCACACACGTGTTGTGAGTTTTTTTTTCTCTCTCTCTTATAATCTTGTGTTATAAATGGAAATGGTGAGAAAGAAGGGAGGGAGAAAGAAGGGCATTTTCGTCCATTAAAATAAGTCTTTTTTGTCATTTGAAGATTTTATGAGGGTAATACCGCTTTTATACTTAGACTTAGTTGATGGGCATTTTATTTTATTCACTTCAATCTATTTTTCTGACAAAAAGGACTGAATTTTGTACGGTGGGGAAGTTTTGTAAAAATGGGCCAAACCTCGGGACACGTTGCAAAAAAATGCACAAGTTTCATCTATTATAATTAGGCCCAACATCAGGAGAGGTCTCCTCTCCCATCTTGCCTAGACAAAGTAATATATGCATCTTGAAGAAGGTCACGCTGATGCGTGGCAGGGATTGGGGAAGTTCGCCTCACCCCACCCCGTTTATATTACGAATTTACAGCTTTACGCTTACTATATATATATATATATATATATATATATATATATATATATATTTGTGTGTACTAAAATCCCTAAGTTTCTCATTACCCGAATCATTTCATTAGGTAGCCGCAGAGAGCTCTAGCCTTCACCCCTCACGACCATGAGTACGACCACATCCTCACCAGTGCCACCACTGACCGGAACCACTCCAGGTGCTCCGATCAGTGGCTTTCTCTTCTCTCTCTCTCTCTCTCTCTCTCTACATACATACATACATACATACATATATATATATACACACACACACACTCCTTACTGGTATTATACAGATATAGTAGATCTACTATATATACAAGCTATATCTATAGTAACAAGGTCCCAATTTCATTGTTTGTTTGTTGAGTTCTCGTTTTTTTTTTTTTTTTTTTTTGTCTTCTCTCTCTGATTTGCAATCCTTCAAACATGCAATTATGAATCATAAATTATTTTTGGCCCAACCAGTTAATTGTACTGTGGTCATGAATCATAAATTATTCTTCGGCGCCCCCCCCCCCCCCCCCCCAAGCAACCAGTTAATTGTACTGGACTACACATAAATTACACCCATTTTCTTAATAGATTTTTGGCCAAAAGTACAATTATGAATCATGATTGTGTGCCTTCTGTTCCCTATTTCTGAAATCTGCATCCAGATTTAAAAACTTATTTGTGCGGCTTCTGTTTATAATTTCTGTAAACTTATCAATGTTAATTATTTATTTGATTTATATTATTAAATAGGACTTTAAAATTTGAGTGAGAAATGTTGGGGAAAAAAATAGAGTGGGCATTTAAATGGGGTGGAGACAGGGCGAGGAAACTTAAACGGGGGCGGGGTGGGAGGGGAGGTTTCCTAAACGGTTTTGGGCGGGGACGGGGGAGTGTACCCCCGCCCAAACCCACCCCTGTTGCCATCCCTACAGTCTCTTTAAAGAGAGACCCAGGATTATTGCTCTAAGGGAGACTATGTACTTTAAAGGCCAATCACATTTTCTATGCATACACAAAACTAATAATGATAACAATACACTTCGGTGCATGTTGCTAAGCTTTCTCTCTCTGCTGTCTTCATGAGGCTACTTTAAAGAATCAACCGATTGTCAATTTATCATTACTTTTCTTTGCAAACACTGGCCTATGTGTAGTCTTTGATTGTTTTCATTATCTGCTTAGACACATGGTACTGTACTTGAGCACAACAGCTTTAATGTATACTGACGTACCAATTTCATTTTCTTTCTTTTTTAGTTCTGTTAGTTTATATGTTTGTTGCTATCTGCAGGTTGAAACTGATTCAGGTTCTCTGATACCCGAAGTTTCGGGTCTTCTCCAGTATCGTGTTACAAAAGATGCCATCGGTAAATTCATATCCTTTACATGTACCCCAATACGCGACGATGGGATTGTGGGCGAGTCAAGAACTGTCATAGGGCAAGAGCGTGTTCGTCCTGGTAATTATATTTGCTTTTATCTTGAAGCTATGTTTATATCTGTTAAATAATTTTAAATTCTATATGTGATTCCCAAAGTATTTTACTAGAGGAGTGCCTCGATTTCATACAGGAAGATAGTAGTGCATAATTTAGAAAAAAATTTAGGAGGTGGTCATTGTTTTCATGATTATAATGTTTTAAAGATATCCTTAGCGTTCCATATATTTTAAAATTAAGGCACAATGAAGATATATGTTATATGTATACATAGGTGTATGCACATATGCGTCTAGATAGGTTGGTAGATATATGTTTGCCTATCTTTTCGTATATTCATGAAACATACTAATTACGATGATTCCCCTTATTTTCTCTCTCGTATATATAAACTTCCATATATGCTGCATTTGTTTTTGAATGTGATCAAAATTCTTAATAAGGTTTTGTGAACCCTTATTTTATTTTAGGCAATTATAATTTTTCTGCTAAAAAATGTACAAGGGCAGACAAGCTGCAGGATTTTAAACTTCCTATTTCCAATTATGAGCCATGCAACCTGCTGTATTGTTGTTTTATACCCTTTTAATTATCTGTGCTCCTTATTTCACCATGCATAAAGTCCTTTCCCATTCATGTCCATGCAACTCTTTGTATTATGTTTCCTTGCATCAATGATGTTTTTATTTTTATTTTATCCCAAAAGGTATCAATGATGTTTTTAGTACTTTTTTTTTTCTTCCTGAATATGTTTTTAGTACTTCCTTATCTCACGAATTTAGATATTGAAATTACTAACTTGAGTAAATGAATAATTAATAATGTTATTCATCTCACAATTTTTTCCCCCTTAACAATAATATTTGCCTGTTCGAACAAGAAGTATTAGAAACGTAATTGAAGCCTGTGAACCATAATACAAGCAGTTGCATGAACATCGATGTGAAAGGGAGGGCCTTATGCGTGATGAAATAAAGAGCACAGAAAGCTGCAGAGATGAAACCAAACATACAACAGGTTGCTTGGCTTATAATTGGACATAGGAAGTTCTAAATCCGTACCCTGGCTGTCTGTCATCTCACATTTTTCGAAGATAATTATAATTGCATAAAAAATGAATCTAAGGGTTTACACAACTTTGTTATGAAGTTTGAAAAGAGGCATGACACCCATAGCAACTCTTTGTGTTATGGTTCTCACGCCTCAATTATGATCTTAATACTTGGTTATCCCATATTGGAGTTGCATTGAATAAATTAACATCTAACCCATTAATGTTATTCATCTCTTGAAAAATTTGTGATGCTAAAAAAGTTTTATTTGCCTTTTTGAACAGGACAGATGTTAAAATGATCTATATTTTCATTATTATTATTTTTCTCACAGATATTCTTCCGTGAAGGAATTTTACATCCAATACCCCAATTCAAAAGGAAAAAAAAAGAAAAGAAAAGAAAAGAAAAGAAAAGAAAATAGATTTTGTTGTTCCACTGATCATGTACATCTTCTATAGTGATTTTTTATTTTATTTTTCCTTTGTGCATTCTTATGTATGTATATCTCTGGCTGGTATTGGTACAAGAATCCTGTCATCATGGAGACTATTTTAGTGAATCTCTAACATTGCTGATTTGTACTTGGTCATTAGGAAGCCCAAGATTACTTTCTCTGCAAATAGTTGGAACTGTTGTTGAAGGCACTACACTTACTGTTGACAAAAAATATTGGGGTGGTGAAGAGGGAGACTCAGTTTTCCGTTGGTTCCGGGTAATTTAGCTTGACACCTAAATTTTTTAAATCTTCTACTGGTCCGTTGCTGCATAAAATGTCTTGATTGACTTTGACTAATATTTGGTATCACATGGTACCAATATATGAATAATAGTTGGTAACTTTGATGATAGAATTTTCAAGTATTTATAAGTATTTTATTTATTTATTTATCTTACACTGATAATATAATATAAATTCTCTGATTTCAATGTGCATTATTGTTGATTTTAAATTACTTAATGGCTGAATAGCTAAAGTGTGGTATGCAGACTAGTTCAGATGGCACCCCAAGTGAAGTCAAAGGTGCTGCGAGTTCATCATACATGCTCTCAGTTGATGATATCGGCTGCTTTGTTTCAGTTTCGTGTGAGCCTGTCAGAAGTGATTGGGCTCGTGGTCCTACTGTGCTATCTGAACAAATTGGACCAATAATACCTGGTACACAAATGACATATCACCATCTTTTATAATAAACAAGTTCAAGCAACAGGGGGTTGCATTTTTCGTTCCTTGTGTGTTTCAAAGTGTATTATTTTGAAACATTCTCTTCATTCAATTCTGTTCAGCCTATGATGATGCTGAGAAACATTAGTTTTTCTTTCCAGGAGCATTGCTATTTATAATTAGATCAGCATCTTTGAATGTGACCTTTTATTGCAGGGCCACCAACTTGTCAATCACTTGAATTTCTTGGATCATTAATGGAAGGAGAGCGTTTGAGCTTTATTGCGTCTTACAGTGGAGGGTAAGATAATTGGTCAACCATCATATTGAGGACAATCTTGACCTTCTAGCCTTCTTTTACTTTTGGTCCTGATGTTAAAGCTTTCAATTTTGATTCAGGGAAAAAGGAGATTGCTTCTATGAATGGTTTAGAGTGAAAAGTAATGGCATCAAGGAGAAAGTAAATGCTGGTGGTAAGCATATTCAATTTTTAAATGAGTTATCCCCCAACTTTTCCAGTTTGGATTTGTGAGATTAAATAGTTAAAAATGTTCTCTTAGCAGAATTTTTGGATTTGACTTTTGACGATGTGGGGAGATGCGTAGAGCTTGTCTACACCCCTGTGCGAAAAGATGGAATTAAAGGGAATGCTCGGAGTTTAGTATCTGATGTGGTTGGTCCTGGTAAGTAGCTCTTTCATTATGAAAAATCTAGATTACCTAAGCCATAAATAATTCGTTATTTTATTTCAAATTTCTGTGTCATTCATATTATTTAATTTATTAGGAAATCATTAATGAATCAAGCTTGGCATTAGGGAAAATAGATCCTTGAAGTGGATCTGGAAGATGTGTTTCATTGTTGTCTTTGTTTATGAATATACTTTGTGGAGAAAACTTTGTAATTCTCTACAAGTAAAATATGTGTTAGTATTTGTTTTCTACATATACATGCATATATTTATATAATTAAATACGTATATATGTTAACTACCATCTATTCCAAAAGCTTAAACTGTTAGAGAGGGAATAACTTAAATATACCCCCCTCTTTTTGTTTTTGTAACTCCAAACATTTTCCCCTTTTGTTTTCATTTCCTTTTTCTTGCATTTCTATACCTCATAGAAATGCAAGCTTTCTGCCCCCTGCCTCTATTTTTGTTGTGAGTATTGATGTATGTTAACTACCCATCTACTCTAAAAGCTTAAGTTGATAGAGAGGGTGCAACTTTAATATTTATACCTTCAATACGCCCCCTCACGTGTGGCCTTCTTTTTGGTCCTACACGTGTTTTTCAATTTTCAATTAGGGTGATGGTGAGGTTTGAACTCGAGACCTTTGGCTCTGATACCATATTAACTACCCATCTACTCTAAAAGCTTAAGCTGATAGAGAGGGTGCAATTTTAATATTTATACCTTAAACAATGTACATGGGACAACAAGGGGTTTCTAAAAGTGTATGTTGTTTATTGAAGATTTGCTGTTATTAGAGGAATCAGTGGCGAAAAATCCTCCTTGTTTTTTATTTTCTCTCTCTTTCCATTCTCGTAATTTCTTCTCCTATTTAGAGGAGGCTCCGCCATTGTATTGTGAATGAATGGAGAGAGTATTATAAAAGTGATGTAGCCCTTTGGGCACTTTGTGCCGTAGATGTAGGTCCTAGTGGCCGAATCACGTAGTACTTGTGTGTTCTACTTGTTTTATTTATCTCTTCACTTCCGTTTTATGCTTTCCAACTTGGTATCAGAGCCTAATTTCACTTTTAAGGTTTAGACCCCCATTTTGGGGTATTCCTTTAGCATCTGTTGCTAAGGGTTTCTCGGTGATATTTGTGACTTGCTTGGGCTGCCGATGTGTTCGTCAGTATTGTTATTCGCCTTTGCCATGCCTCCGGCAGTTTGTATTGACTTTTTTGGGCTGCCGTGTGTTAGGTAGCATTGTCTTCGCCTTTGCCGTGTCTCCGGCAATTTTTGTTTGACTTGTTTGGGCCGCCAGTGTGTTCGGTAGCATTGTTCTTTGCCTTCTTTCATCTCTCTTCATCATTTGCACTTGTTGCTACTCGTCATCTCAATGGCAAGTTGGGCATTCATGCTCCAACTTAAGGAGGAGTATTGAAGATTTAATGGAGGAATCGGTGGAGGAAAATCCTCGAGTAATTGATTTAGTTTCCTATTTTTGAGGATTTGCTGTTGTTAGAGGAATCAGTGTTGAAAAATCTTCATTGTTTCCTATTTTCTATGTCTTTCCATTCTCATAATTTCTTCTCCTATATAGAGGAGCCTCCACCATTGTAATGTGAATGAATTGAGAGAGTATTATAAAAGTGATGTAGCCCTTTGGGTTCTTTGTACCGTGGATATTGGCCCTAGTGGCTGAACCACGTTATATCTGTGTGTTCTACTTGTTTTATTTATCGCTTCACTTCCGTTTTATGCTTTCCAACATTGTTAAATTAACATATCCATTGGATCCTTTTTGTGATGATTGCTGAATTTTTTTACTTTAAGGACTTTTATCAGTAGACATAAAGAAATATTGTTAACTGAAAATTCAATAGACAGCAGAAAAAGGAGGGTGCGAAATGGTTCACACCTTTAAAAGTTGTTTATTATTTATATTTATTCAATTATTTTAAAGTTGAGCTGCAATGTTTTCAAATTATTGCCCAACCATTGAACTTCAAGTACCTTTTTGCACGTGGCATGAATTTTTTTTGGAACTGATTTGAAGACCCTATAGTTTTACTTATTAACTTAGACTGCGTTTTAATGTAGGCTCTAGATAAGAAATATGAACAATTTCAGTGTCCAATGTTTCTTGCTACAGCGGACCCGAAGGGTGTGGAGCTCTTAGTTCCTGATTGCTGCGAGGACAAGGTGATAGTCCCTCAAAAGACTTACTTTGGTGGAGAAGAAGGTGATGGAGAATATGTTTGGTACCGAACAAGGAATAAATTACATGGATCTTCTCTAATGGACATATCTAATACTTCTCAAGATGTTGTTATATGTGGAAAAACATTGTGAGTTCTGTGACGTAGTATAATGGGTTCCAAGTTCCCAGAACTGATGCAAAAAGCCTCCATTTAATAATGTGCTACTGTGGCAGAACATACACTCCATCACTGGAAGATGTGGGGGCTTATTTAGCTTTACATTGGCTACCAACTCGTGCGGATGGAAAATGCGGAAAGCCTTTAGTTTCAATTTGCAATTCTCCTGTCACAGCAGGTAGAATCTTATTTTTGCTTACTGCTTTATAGTTGCGGGCTCATTTATCTGCACACTGACTGGACCTGTAGCATGGTTCGCTATTGTTCTACTAGTAGCAATTATGAACAGTAGGACCTACCATTCAAGTAGTCTAATCTACCAATTCTGTCAGAATGATTCTTATTTGGTGGTCAGTGCAATCGTTTCATGTTGTTATTTTTGTGAATAGTCTGGGTGGCTGTTGTCAATTTGACACGTTAATCATTATATTTACTCTTGACCTAATAGAGACCACCTAAATGGAACCATCAAATGGTTGCCCCTATTTTTTTGTATGTGTCTATGAGGTTATTCTTACCAACCATACAAGGATTTCTAGGTATTTTGTTTTTGTGATCTTTGTCCTTGACATATCAAAGTGACATAATATGGCAGCTCTTCCAGTAGTTTCTAACGTTCGCGTGAAGGAGTTGTCTTCTAGTACTTATTTTGGAGAAGGAAAATATTTTGGTGGATATGAAGGATCAAGCCTGTTTAGCTGGTATAGAGAAACTAGTGATGGAACCATCATTCTCATCAACGGAGCGAATTCTAGAACTTATGATGTTACAGATTCAGACTACAATTGCCGTTTGTTGTTCGGGTGACTACTCTCTCTCTCTCTCTTTCTCTCTCTCTCTCTCTAAGTAGTGTTTACATGAATGATATGCTGATAGAACCATTATATGACGTATTATGGCTGTAGTCTCACGAACACTAAAAACCTAATCATTGTTGCTAGAAGAAGTACTAAATATTCTTACGAGAATCTATTAATTATTATTATTTTAATTGTTACATGCCTTAAAAGACGAATCTCAAGATAAATGGACTCCAAATTACCAAAATATTTACAAGGCACTCACTGATTGTTTTTTTTTCGGGAGAGAAACCTAGTTTTTATTGAAGGGAAAGCCTTCAAAAAATTTACATTCCTTCCTACCAAACAAGAAGGAAAAAAGAATAAATAAGCAAATAACGGAAAATAGGAATAACAAGAAAAGGCGATTCCATCAAGATGGAAATATATGGAAGGCTTGGCCGATGGACACCCTATAAATGGAACAACTTTTGCCAACTCAATTAACCAGCTATGCTGCAGGAAGGATAATTAGCAAAGATGATTCCATCAAGAGGGAAATATATGGAAGGCTTGGCCGACAAACACTCTCCAAATGGAATGACTTTTGCCAACTCAATTAACCCGCTATGCTGGGGGAAGGATAATCAATTCCTTAAGTTTGTTTTTCCACAACATAATGGTTAGATGATCGGTTAGGGATTGTACCGGACAGAGGATTTGTAAATTTGGCAGCCATTATTTGGTCCATTTTGTAATAGCTCAAGCTTTTGGTTCTAGAGGCGGTCTAACACTGTTTAGCATTTCTTGTTTGTGATTCATTCTTTGATTTTTTTTGTTCCCTTACGAACAATTCTTTAGCATGATTAATATTTATTTCTAAAAACTTGTTGAATTCATCTCACAGATATACACCAGTTCGTTCAGATTCAGTTGTGGGAGAACTAAGATTATCTGAGCCAACTGACATTATTCTCCCAGGTAACTAATCTCATTGCAGTACCACAGCTTGATTCTATATTTTTTGCCAATAGGTTATAAACAGGGAGCAACTCTAAAATAATTTAAAATTCCGCGTGTCATGCTAGGAGTTGGACGTGCATATTTTGCATTTACCTAATACATCACAGGAATTCATCATCATGCATGTTTGTGAATGAACATGCAATTGCATATCAGATAGAAAAAAATGTCAAATCTTTTACAAATGTGACTTGCCTTCGTGTCAAAGTGTTAAGAATCCGATTTTAATCCAATGCACCCAAAATGAATATCAGGTTGAATTTGATTTACCGGATCAGGTCAGTGAACAAAAATCCCTTACTGTAGCAATCATGTTCCAAGTGATGTACATTGATGCATCCTCTAGTTTCCTTTTTGTATATTCTGCCTGGCCATTTCTTATTGTTTTTGTTGTTCTATAATATTATTATTGCTGTTGTTGTTGTCTTCGATATTGAGTCATGTATTGGCAAGTTCCTAGTTCCTACCAGAAAAAATACAAGATAAAAGAAATATGTAAATGTCTGAATGAGGCTTTTAAACACTCATTCACAGCTTTGTTATTTATATACTAAAACGAGCACTTGTTACTATTACAAGAAAAGAAACTGAATAAAATCATTGCATATTCTATGCCTAGACAATTGTGTAAATAAAGTCAAATCCCATGATTCTAGCCTATCACATCTCGGCTAACACTCCCCTCAAGTTGGTGCGTGGATATTTGAGACTCCCAACTTGGACAATGAATCCTCAAACACGATCTTTATAAATATATAACCAACGCTTATGCTTGGCTGCATTACATTGACTAGCCAAGAAATAACCATAACGTTTTCTTCAAACCACCGTGGAATCGTGGATACATCTTATCTGACTCTCTCTATAGACCGTAAACCATTTACAATGTCTCCTTAGACTATAAGCAACCAAAATATGTAGATGAAAGAATCAATAATGTATCCTCGAACCATTCTTTCTCCTTTAAACACATGTTTAAATATGTAGATGAAAGAATCAACAATGTCTCCTTAGACCATAAATAATCAACAATGTATCCTCAAACCATTCCCCTTCATACACATGTTTAAAAGTATGTAGATGGAAGAATCACCAATGTCTCCTCAAACCACAAACCATCAACAATATCTCCTTAGACCATTCCCGAATGGGTGGTGCCAAACTCGCAACGCTTTTCTTGCGGTCGGACCACCCTGACTTTGATACAAGATAGAAGGAATACGAGAAAAATATGTAAAGGTTTGAATGAGAATAATAATATGCAAAGGCTTGAATGATTTAAACACTAATTGACAGCTTTGGCGCTTATATACTAAAAAGAGCATATGTTTTTTTTTTTTTTCATAAATAAAGTGCATATGTTAATACTAAAAGAATATTATATGCCTAGATATATGCGTAAGTAAAGTCAAATCCCATGATTCTTGCTTGTCATATCTCGGCTAACACTACTTCCTACACAAAATTTGGTTGTAGTTGAACTTGTTTGGGAGTGATTTTATGTGTCTACAACTGAAAATACAAATGAAATGACGTCAAAGGCTATATGAAGAATATCATCAAAAGCTTAATTTGGTTAAGCTAAGATGAGACATTAGCACTCATAGGAATCTAGATTGGATTCTTTATTAGGTAGTTGAACTTCTGTGACCTAGTATTGAGTGTCAATAATGGACATATTAAAATAATATAAATTTCTAAAAATAGGGCATATCGATTGTTTGAACCTTAGATCAAAATATGGCTTGAATTTTGAAAGAATAGTGAGAAATGATTGACAAATCGAATTGATTGAACCTATCAATCTAGAAAAACAGTGAGTAATGATTGAAAGACTGGTTGATCGAATATATTGATTGAAAGCTATTCATCATCATCGTCATCATCATTGCTTTAATCCCATATGAATGTGGTCGGCCACATGATTTCTCTTTCTCCAATCCTTTCTATTACTTTCCATTTCTCGTACTATATTTTATTTTTAAAATCATTTTTAATAATCTCATCCTTGTTATTTTTGGTCGCCCTCTCCGTCTCTTGCCTTCTATGGAAACTAGTCATTCTCATTTGACTGGTGCGTCTCTAGGTCTTAGATACATGTTTCCAAACCATATAAGTCTACTCTCTAATTTCCTCACCAATGGGAGCCACCGCTAATTTTTCTTGCACACTTTCCTTAGTGATCCTCTCTGTCCTCGTCACTCTACTCATCCATCTTAACGTTCTCATTTCCGCTACATGGAGATGTTTCTCTTGTTTCTTTTTTATGGCCCAACAGTCCTCCATACAACATAGTTGGTCTTATAACGGTCCTATAGATTTTTTTTTTTTTCATCCAATGTGTTATCCATCACATAAAATCCCACTAGTTTGTCTCCACTTGGTCCAACCTGCTCCAATTCTACTAGCTATATCACGATCTATCTCTCTGGCCTTTTGTATTATCAATCCTCGACAGTGGAAATGGTTAATTTGAGTAATCCTTTTGGTTTTGAAGCGTTATCATTATATTTTCAATGTCCGATTCTTGATCAAATTTGCACTCCATGTGCTCAGTTTTAATTTTATTAGTTCTCAATCCTTTTGATTCTGACACATTTCTCCACAATTCTAGTTTTATTGGTAAGTAAACTTCTGGTGTCTGAGAGCACTATATCATCTGCAAACATCATTCTCCGTGGAATCTCGTTTTGGAAGTCTTTTTGTTCTTTTATCTAAGATTATTGCAAATGGATATGGGCTTTAGCACTGATCCTTGGTGCAATCCTGCATTTATGGAGAACTCACTAGTTTCACCATATGTGCAAACATCGTTCTCCGTGGTTCGTGGTTGGTGTGTATTGCTGGTCTGGTTTGGTTTTTCTTCTCTGTCATGCGCTCGTTCTTGGAGGTTGCTAGATTGCCTTGCTTGTTCCAAGGTGGATCTGTTAGATCTGCAAATCCGTATAGAGGCCCATCTATTTTCTTGGATGATGATTCGGTACGAAGAAGAAGAGAAGACCTTCGGTCGTGTCTGGTTGGAAAATTTGATAAGGAAGTGGGTGATGGGGCTTAAATTGCTACCTGGGCTTCGCGTGCTTGGAAGGTCTCCTCTGGTGTGATGGTCTCGTCTCTGCCGGATTCTTTATTGCTTTTCCGGTTTCCTTCCTCGACGGAAGCTTCTCGAGTTCTCAAGAGGGGTCGCCGTGACTGGGGAACGGCTTCTCTCTCTCTGGAAGCTTGAAATTTTAGGGTAGGGTGCTCGGAGGTGTTGAAAGAGCAGTGTCTGAAAAAGGTGACGCTGTACGGTCTTCCTCTCCACCTTTGGAGCCATTCTCTGTTTGTGACAGTTGGTGATCTTTGTGGTGGGTTCATTTGGGTGGATGCCGATGAAGCTTTGGATGCTGAAATAGTCCGAATCACTGTCTCTGATGGGAAGGTTTGTCCTCCGTTTGTGTTCATTCATGATGACCAGTTCTGCTATAAGGTGTTTGTTTGGGAGGAGAAGCATCATGAGCTTGTTCCGACGACTGATAGCCTGGAAGGCGGGGATGGTTCGCACTTGCTTAAGGAGAAAGTATGGTTGAGGTGGGAATCCATGGGGAAAAAAGGTATGGCTGAGTTCCAGGCATGGAAGGAATGGAGTGAAGACTTATGGATTCGCAATTCGGAGTGTTTTAGAAGGATTTACACTCAGAATCGCAAGGATGGGCTTTCCTTTTTGTCGGATCGCCGATGGCAGGAAGCGTTTCGGAAGTTGCAGTGGGGTGGAGGTCTCGCCGGAAATAGTCGTAGACCTTTTGCGCAGCAGCGAGATCAAACAAGACGACGAGGTGGCTTCCACGCTCAGCAGGCGCGTGGGAGGGGGAGGGTTCCAGCTTTTCCACGTGGTTGGCGCTCAGGCTTTGCCCGTTCCCAATGGAGAACAACTGTTCCCACGATCTATTCAAATTCGGCTCCCCACTCAGATGGGCTTTATGGTGGTCTTGAGAATGGGGCCCTTGTTTCTAATAGTGTTTTGCCTGGGTCTGTTGGGCCGCTTGTTGGGCCTGATAGGCCTACTGCTAAAAGGCCTCTGTCAGATTCTTTGGAATTGGATTGTGGTGGGCAAGTCTCTTGTGAGGTGGTTGGTGGGCCGAGCGCCCATTCTTCTAGAGATGATTCTGTTGGTGGACTTTCGGGGTTGAAGAGTGGGTCGAGTTGTGGATCTGGGTTTCTGTGTAATAGGTTTGAGCCCTTGGTATCAATGAGTGTTGACAGAGATTCCTGTGCTGCCGGGTTGTTATCTGCGAATGTCAAGGTTGATCGACGAGTGAAGGATCCGGTACTGAGACGTCGGTTGCCCAAGAAGAAAATTATTCTTCCCGCTCTTTGCAAAAAGTGGTCAAGGAAAGATAAACAGAAATGGGTGGCATCTTCGCAGTCGGGGTTCGATCCGGGTATGTTTTCAATTTCAGTTCCCTCTGAATCCTCTCCTCCTAAGTTGTGCTCTCCTTCTACTTCTTCTCCTTCTTTGGGGGGGTCGATGACTTCACTGGATCGGGTGATGGGTGGGACTGACATGGTTTCTCAATCCTTGGCACCGGTGATTGAGAAGGACTCGGTTTTGGCTGGAAGGCATGTTGGTGATTCTGGTTATAGGCTTGGTTTCTCTCGGCGAAGTGAAGGTATGGGTGAGGGTATTACGGTTTGTATTGGTCGGGATGTGAAGGTAAAGTTGGATGATGAAACAGCCTCTGTTCTATTGAAGGAGTTACGGGACCACTTGGCTTTAAAAGGTTTTCTTTCTGATTCAGGAGATGTTTTGACAGAGGAGGAGCCTGTTTCACGGTATTGTTCGCATTCTTCTTCAGTTCTTGATGATTGGGAGGGAGCTGCAGGTTCATCCCTTGATGGGGACTCGGGCATGATTCCATGGGAAGATTTGGAACAAGTAGTGAATTTGGTTGTCCCTTTGGCTGTTGTTCCACCAGGGGAGAATTGGGTTAGTGACTCGACTGAGGTTGGAGTGAATGACCTTGAGGAGGAGTGGGTGAGGGAGAAGGGCTTGGAAGTGGGCCCTTTGTTGGGTGTTTCTTTTGAAGGCAGGGTGGATGAGGCGATGTGTTTGTTTAATGATGTCCTCAGTTCTCATTTTAAAGTAAAGGTGAGTGATAATGTGGGGCGGTAGGAGGAGAGAGGGGAGACAATGTTGCAAAGTCCCAATGATGTTATCACATACGAAAGGAGGAATAGGGGGTCTAGATCTGGAGGGAGAGGTGGTGGAAGGAGGGGAGGATTTGCTTTTCCAAGTGTTTCCCTATGAAGTTACAAATTCTCTCATGGAATGTCCGGGGTCTCAATGATCCGGTTAGAAGGAAAGTGGTGAAGTCGGTTATTCGTAAAAGTAGGGGTCATGTGGTGTGTCTCCAGGAGACTAAACTGGCTTCGATGTCTGATAGGATTGTGAGGAGTCTTTGGGGGGGGGGGGGGGGGGGGGTCGATTTGTGGAGTGGGTTGCTTTGGATGCTATTGGCTCCTCGGGGGGCATTTTGATCTTGTGGGACAACAGATGGGTGTCTAAAGTGGATGCTAAGGTTGGGCGTTTCTCTGTTTCTTGCATTCTTGCTTTAGTTGAGGATGGTGTTCATTGGATTCTTTCTGGTGTTTATGGTCCTTCAGAGGACGGTGAGCGCCACTTGCTTTGGGAGGAATTGGGGGAGATTCGAAGTCAATGGTGTTTGCCTTGGTGTATTGGAGGGGACTTCAATGTTGTTCGTTCTCCGTTTGAGAGGTCAACGGGAGGTAGGTGGACGTCTGATATAGAGGCTTTCTCAGAGTTTATTGATGAGTTTGGGCTGATTGATTTGCCCTTGGTTGGAGGTCCGTTTACTTGGTCAAGTGGCCGCTCTCCCTCTACCCTCTCTCGGATTGACAGATTCTTGGTGTCAGGGGAGTGGGAGGAGAGGTTCTCTGATGTTGTCCAGACTACTTTAGCACGTCCTATCTCTGACCATGTTCCGTTGATGTTAGATTGTGGGGGACTGTGTAGTAGACATTCTCCTTTCAGATTCGAGAATATGTGGCTGCGGGCTGAGGGCTTTCTGGAGAGGGTCCGTCTTTGGTGGGAGGGGTATGGTGTGGCCGGCACCCCAAGTCATGTGCTCGCAGGCAAATTGCGTCTTTTAAAGGTGAACCTTAAGACTTGGAATAAAGAGGTCTTTAGGAATTTGGAATGGAGGAGAAATCGGGTCTTAGCTGAGATTGCGTCTATTGATCGGATGGAGGGTCAAGGGGATTTGGTGGAGGCTTTGAAGATTAGGAGGGCGGAGTGTAAGGCGGAGTTTACTGAGATTGCAATCATGGAGGAGATCTCGTGGAGGCAAAAATCTCGAGCCTTGTGGCTTAAGGAGGGAGATAGAAATACTAAATTTTTCCACAGATAGGCCAATGCTCATAGAAGAGGCAATCACATAGGGAGGATTCGGGTTGAAGGGGTTGTTTTTTGTAAGGAAGAAGAGATCTGCAAAGAATTTTCAAAGTTCTTTGAGAAGTTGTTCACTGAGACTGTTGAGTGGAGATCTTTGCTTGAAGGGTTACAGTTTGACTCTATTTCTGAGGAGGAGTGCTTGGGTTTGGAGTTGCCTTTTTCTGAGGAGGAAGTTCTGTTTGCTTTGAAGAGTTGTAATGGGGATAAAGCCCCAGGTCCCAATGGTTTTACCATGAAATTTCTTTTGGAGTGTTGGGAGGTGGTCAAAGGGGAGTTGATGGGCACTCTTCATGCTTTCCATTCTCGGGGCTCGTTTGAGAAAAGCTTGAATGCCACGTTCATTACCCTTATTCCGAAAAAAGGGGGGGTGTTGGATGTTAGGGACTTTCGCCCTATTAGTTTGGTGGGTTGTATCTATAAGTTGATAGCCAAGGTGCTAGCTTCTAGATTGAGGAAAGTTATGGATGGCATCATTTCGGACTCTCAAAATGCTTTTGTCGGTGGTCGTCAGATTTTGGATTCAGTTCTTATTGCAAGCGAGTGTGTGGACTCTAGACTGCGTAGTGGGGTCCCAGGTTTTCTGTGTAAGCTGGACATAGAGAAGGCATATGACCATGTGAGTTGGAGCTTCCTTCTCTATCTAATGGAGAGGATGGGGTTCGGTGATAGGTGGAGGAGATGGATTCACTTTTGCATTTCCAGTGCTCGGTTTTCGATACTTGTTAATGGTGCTCCTTCCGGTTTTTTCTCTAGTTCAAGGGGCTTGAGACAAGGGGATCCTCTCTCTCCCTTCTTGTTCTTGTTTGTGATGGAGGCCCTTAGTAGATTGATGAGAAAGGCTTCAGATTTGGGTTTTTTGAGGGGCTTCCGGGTGGGCAGGGATGTTGCTTCTCAGTTGGAGATCTCTCATTTGATGTTTGCTGATGATACTTTTGTTCTTTGTGATGCGAATGTGTCCCGGATTAGATATTTGAGATGTGTTTTGATTTGGTTTCAAGTTGTCTCTGGCCTTAAGGTGAATGTGGGCAAGAGTGTTTTGGTGCCTGTTGGGGAGGTCCTTGAGATTGAGATGTTTGCTGACATTCTTGGTTGTAGGACTGGGTCATTTCCCATTTCTTACTTAGGTTTGCCTCTGGGTGCTCCTTCGAGATGTGTAGGAATTTGGGACCCAGTGGTGGACAGATTTGAAAGAAGGCTAGCGGGTTGGAAGAAGCAGTATCTTTCCAAGGGCGGCAGGGTCACTCTGATTAAGAGCACCCTCTCTTGCCTCCCCACTTACTTTATCTCTCTTTTTCAAATTCCCTCTTCAGTTGCGGAGAGGATTGAGAGGTTGCAGCGTAATTTTCTTTGGGGAGGTAGAGCTGAAGAGTTTAAGTTCCATTTGGTGCGATGGGATCAGGTTTGCAGGCCTATTCGGAATGGTGGGTTGGGTCTCCGTAGATTGGTGCCATTTAATAAGGCCCTTCTCGGGAAATGGTTGTGGAGATTTGGTGTGGAGAGACATTGGCTTTGGAGGAGGGTTGTGGCGTGTCGTTTTGGGGAATTGAGAGGAGGATGGAGTTCCTTGGAAGTGCGGGATCCTCGGGGGGTAGGGGTCTGGAAAGTGATTCGGAAGGGTTGGGATGAATTCTTTAAACACGTTCGATTTCGTCTTAGAGATGGGAGGAGGATTTGCTTCTGGGAGGATGTGTGGTGTGGAGATGTTCCTCTCGCTCTCGCTTTTCCTCAGCTTTACAGGATTGCTTCGGATAGGCAGGCCATGGTGGTCAACTGTTATCATCTTGATAATGGAAGACTGGTTTGGGATGTTCGATTCAGGCGTCACTTTCAGGATTGGGAGATCGAGGAGGTCATTCGCTTCTTGGAGCTGCTTTATCGCCAAAGGATTGTGGAGGAGGATTCGGATTGTTGGTCTTGGGTTGCAAACTCTCATGGGCGTTTTGAGGTGAGGTCCTTCTTCAAGTGTCTCTCATTTGATTCTGATGTTCGTTTTCCTTGGAAGTCTGTTTGGCGCTCCAAGGCTCCTCTCAAGGTGGCTTTCTTTGTGTAGTCTTCGGTTATGGGTAAGATCCTAACCCAGGATAATTTGCGAAGGAGAAGCCAAGTAGTGATCAATCGTTGTTTTATGTGCCTTCGTAATGAGGAATCAGTGGATCACCTTCTCATTCATTGCTATGTGGCTAGAGAGTGTTGGGATTTGATGCTTGGCTTATTTGGGCTTTATTGGGTTATGCCTAGATCTACAAGAGGGTTGATTGAGGCTTGGAGAGGTTGCCCGGTGGGGACTCACAGTCAGGATGCGTGGAGGGCTACACCGCTTTGTGTATGGTGGTGCATTTGGCTTGAAAGGAATAGGAGATATTTTGAAGAAAAGGCGATGTCGATTTCGGTGCTTAAATTTTCGATTATTTCCACTCTGTTTTGTTGGGTTTTAGGGAGAGATCATAGATCTTTGGAGGAAATTGTTGATTTTTTGGCCTCTTTGAAGGATTGAGTGGCTTTTTGTATTGTTCTTGGGTTCCGCTCCCCCTTGGAGTGTTTTTTTATAAAATTTTTTATTTATCAAAAAAAAGAACATATCTTGGATACTTTTTATGATTTGTGAGGGGATTTGTTTTCTTTGTAGAGCCCGCCAAATTATATCTTTTGGGACCCTATCATACACTTTTTTTAAGTCTATAAATACCATATGTAAGTCTTGTTGCTTACTCTCTTTAACTAATTGTCTAAGTAGGTATAGCTTCTATATACACAATAGATTGAACGGCAGGGAGCTTTTTATCAGCTGTCCATTGTGTTGTCATCCGTATAAATTATATATTTATTGAGCGAAAATAATTTAAAATTTCATGTTGTACATTGTTAAATTTAGCTCTTTACAGCAACTTCAGAAAATTATAATCATCAGCTTACATCATCTTGTTATAATCATTGTATATTAAGCATTATAATTATTATTTTTCATCTGAAAATTTTATTGCACTTCAGAACTTCCGAAAATTGAGATGGTTGCTCTTACGGGAAAGGCTGTCGAAGGAGATGTAATCACTGCCGTTGAAGTAATTCCGAAGTGTGAAACTCAACAACTTGTTTGGGGCAAGTACAAGAAAGATGTCAGATATCAATGGTATAATGCTGTGTTCTACTAGTTCATAGCTTGGTTGTTTTCAAATGCTTTATAGTAATGGTTGATTTTGCAAGTTCTTAGAAGTGTTAACTGTTTGGTTGCTTGGACATCTTAGCAATATCAAGGTAATATTCATGAAGGTTATTTTTGTTCAGCCTTTTGAAGATGTCCAATATAAAACAACATTCTGAACCAGCCTTTCTGGATATATATTTGTGCCAAAAAGTTACATCTGACTAAACCCTAAATTTAGAAAAGATCCCTTTGTATGGACTACCTATAATTCATTTCAGTATATATATTTTTTATACTTGTCTTACGTCTGGCAACATGCATTGGGGTCGGACACAGTTTTAAATTTTCAGCATGGTGCTTTTCTATATACCTGTCCTAGGATTCACTCGTTTTTTAGTATATTAGATAAGTCCAGTAAGGCATCTTCTTTAATTAGTATTTTTTTTTCTCCTTCCAGTGCATGACATGAGGTATGATGCAGGTTCTGTTCATCTGAAACGGGAAACACTGAATCCTTTGATCTATTACCTTCACAACGTTCTTGCTCTTATAAGTTGCGATTGGAGGACATTGGTCGGTGTCTGAGATGTGAATGCATTGTGAACGATGTGTTTGGAAGGTCAAGTGAGCCAGCATATGCTGAAACTGCTTTCATCTTACCAGGTCTTCAATTTCTTCTCTAATTGTACAGGCAATTGACCAAGGATTACCTTCTTTTACTCGTTCCTGAAAATTTATCTTTTAAATTTAGCTGATATTCCCAAAACTTCTTTGATTTACCTGCAAGGAAAGCTGGTATATGTGCTACATGCGCGGATTTAATGAATAGGCATCAATTTTCCTCTTTGTTTTTCAACATAAAATGGATGGATATTCGACTGTAAAATATTACTCCATATTTGAATTCAATATAGGGCATTCAGATCTCATCCAGATCCTACTTTTTGCATGCATTGCATGTTGACCTATACCATCTGTAATAATGCTATCGTCTAAGTTCCCTGAGGAAATTGCTTGCTGATGGATAATTCTGAAAAATTAAGTTGTTGGATTGATTTTAATGTGTGTGTAAATAATTTGGCTAATGATCATTTTCAATTGCTTATTTTGATTGATTGTGAGGCGGCTGACAAGAACTTCTTCTTCTTCTTTTTTTATTTTAAAAATAAATAAAAAAATCTCTGATTACAATATTGGTCCTTTCAATTAGGTTAACAACAGCTTCTATTCCTAGTCCTATTGCTTTTTAAGTATCCCTGAAATAGGTAATGTGGATTGAGTGGAAGAATATTTTCACCAATGAGGATTAACTCTTTTATTACTTTGAATTAACTTGTTTGCTTCCAACTGGGTTTTATTTACTCAATCATCAAATGGTTATTAATATTGTTATTTGTTTTTCTTAGAAAGCGTTAGTTTTTTATCATTCTGTAGCAGTAATTTGTTTCTTATTTAAAGTTCTGTTTTTGTTCAGGGATCCCTAGAATTGATAAGCTGGAGATTGAGGGCAGAGGTTTCCACACCAACTTATATGCTGTCCGAGGCATTTATGGTGGAGGAAAGGAGGGAAAAAGTAGAATTCAGTGGCTTAGATCAATGGTTGGAAGTCCTGACCTTATCTCTATTCCTGGTATGTGCTAAATCACTGGGTTTGTCCTATGGCTCAGTAATCTGGCTTTGTCAAAGATGATGCCCTTCTTACTTATCACAAAAAAAAAGAAAAAAGAAAAAAAAAGAAGATGATGCCCTTCTTTTATCAATTTTTTTTTTTGGTTTAAATTTATGTGTTATTGGAGAAATATTAGAAGTGAAACAGGAACGTGGAGCCCATAGTTGTAAAATTTGGAGCAGACATTACCATGTTTGGGAGGACAGGTCACTGAGGCACTAATTCAAGTGACTTAAGGTGACAACAAGGCTTGTCTTGATCTGTTTTTAGGGGTGGCAATTTGTGTTGGCAGTTCATATTCGTGTCTTGTCAACCTAATTGTTTTTTGTTATATAAATATAAACACGACCCATTTAATAGTTGTGTCAGAATCCTTGAAACGAACACAACCCGTTTATTAAAAATATAATACAACAGAACCCGTGTAACCCTTTTAATAAATGGGTCTTCTAACACGACATGACCCGTTTAATAACGTATGTAATCTGTGTAGATTAGATGGGTCAAGTTACCTGTCTATTAACATATTTTTTTGTTAGTATAAAATGCAAATATTATGAAAAAGATGACATAATGCGATAATGGATGTCTAAATTCATGAAAATGAGGATAGTGATATTGCAATTACAAAAAATGGGGACAAGTACAATCTCCATATTGGGCTTATACTGATATAACACAAATATCCATGGTAATTCGGTTAAAACAGGTTAATAAAGTTGAACTGATATGATTAATTAAACAGGTCTGATCAGGTTATATAAGTTCACCCCAAAACATGAGCACAACATGATTAATTAAAGGGGTTGACACGATTGTTACACAAACATGATTAAGGTTAAACCAAAAATCCCTAATTTTGTGTCATGTTGAATTTTTCCACCTCTATTGTTTCCGTATAAATGAGTTACTGATCAACTGATTCCACCTGCACCACTGGATTACTTGAAATTTGAATTATTATTATGATTATTATTCAAGCGGTTTAGACTAGAGTTAACCAATTCTTTACCTGTACGTACAGTGTTAATGTTTTTTTTACTTCATTTTTAATCTTACAATAGTTGATCCAGTCGTATGGACCCCCTAATCGATCCAAAGTAGGATCATGATAATAACTACCTTGATATAGTGTATGTGTTGTGACTTATAATTTCTGCTTTCATCACATAAACACTCATACCTAAAATTAATTTTGTAGAATAGTTTGGAAAAATCCAAAAATTTCAATTTTTTTATACATATGTGGTTGAATACTATAATGATAATCATATATTGAATTCACAAATTAGTGAATTATGATGAACTTTTAAAGGTGATTTAATATGAGTAATGGCCTGCCTATACAGTGTATTTTAAACCACTGTTATAGTAATAACATACTAATGTTAAAATGAAAGATTCTGTATTGACTTGATTAAGTCGCAATGTGCAAGGTTGAAAAAAAATACAACATTGGTTTCCGATCCCATTAGGTGACACCGTGACGCCCATTACATGCTGCGTCTGCTACACCTTGGCTATCATTGTATAATTTATAATACTAGTTGGTGTTTAACCCTTTATATAGTTTTACAGGATTTATCATCAAAATCAACTTCTATATTCCAGCTCAGAGGCTTGATTGCAAGCTTGATGTGATGTTGCAGGGGAAACTGGCAGGATGTATGAAGCTAATGTCGATGATGTGGGTTACAGGCTGGTGGCGGTTTATACTCCTTTGAGAGAGGATGGAGTTGAGGGGCAGCCTGTTTCTGCGTCAACTGAGCCAATTGCAGTTGGTAAAAGCGGAATTATGTTTCAATTTTATGTCTATATTCTCTTTTTGCTCTTATAGATTAACATATATGCTACTTAAGGAGAAATTATTCATTGCAACTGTTGCAAAGATGACGTGGTGCAACGGATGGCTACAAACACTCCACCAAAGTACATATATCAACTTTTTGGTTCCATTGTAGGTCGACTTTGCTTTGGTGGTGTATTTATAGTCGTTCGTTGCACCAAGTCATCGTTGCAACGGTTGCAATGAATAATTTCTCCTACTTAAGGTTATCTAAATCCATACTTCACCTCCTTTTGATTTATAACTAAAACCAAACCAATCAGCTATATATTTATGAGATATTGTGGAAAAAAATGTCCTCAACTAATTTATGCAATTGTATATCTCATAACCTGTATCAAAATGATATTAGTTGTCCATATGCTGTCAAATCTGAACAGTTCATACTAAAAAAATTATAGAAAATTCATTTTTACATAAAACACAGTGAAATTATATGGATGACATTCTGGACAGTTTGTACTAATATTCTGGAAAGTAGACTTAACATAATACCATGGTAACAAAAGTCCCCCACAACGATTTCTGTTGCCAACTAAATAAGATTTTAAATTTAACTAGGGCCTTCTGCAGCTTCTTTTCTTTTATTTTTATTTATTTATTTTTATGTAGTCTTTAGTTGTACTAGTCGTCATCATCATCCTGCCTGAATCCCATATGAAAGGGTTTTATGCTGTCTTTTGTGATAAACAAAATTTCATGAAAAATAGAATGCTCAATCTCTTCAGGAGAAACCGATTTCTAATGTAATGTTTCATGTCTTCAGAAATTAAAGCAATTTTATATTTAATTGTAAATAATCACAATAGAAGTCCAGAAAAATTGATTTCCCTCCAAAGGCCCCACAGAACAAAATTGAGGCAGCAACTTACATATGGGGAGAAATTGTAAATCTATAAAGGAGATAGTTGATTTTTGGGTTCCTTGGGCTCTTAGGTCCTTTTGACTGTGGCCTTTCTGTAGTTTTTGGGATGCATTCCCCTTTTGAACGCTTTCTAATGTATTTTTACTTAAATAAATTAAAAAAAAAAAACTCAATATTCATTTGGGCCAACAATTATATCGATTTTAATCTTGAATTATATTATTTGAGTCATGTGACAACTGAATTTAACAGAAAAAAATGGAAAAGATAACATATGTATATGGACAATTATTATATAACAAGAAATGAAATATAGAATTAATTTAGCTGTCAAGAAAAGCTATGCTGGATGCTTAATTTAGCAGTCAATTTTAGATGCTAACATGAATTTAATACTATGTCTGAGTACTTGTGGGATCATGTAGCATCTGGTTTCTTCCATAGAACATATATTGACAAGTCAGGAATCCCTGGCTAGTTTCCAACCTAATTTGGCATGCATGTCATGTTGATGAAGGTGAATTTCGTCCCACGCCACCTTCTTTTGGTCTGAAATCTTAGTGCATTTCATCAACCTATTACAACATGCTTAAAAGGGTAGGGTTTTTTCTGAAACTCTATATATATATATATATTTAAACTCTATATTCTGTATTTGCTATTTGCTTCTTGTATGTGTGTCTTTGTTTGGTTAATTTTTTTTTTGGCAGGGACGTTTCCATTTATATAATTGCTGGAGTTCCATCTGAATTTACGATATCAACTGAGTCTCTGACTTCTTCATTCCTGTATTGCTTTTGCATTTATTTTGGCACTTTGTCTACTTGCAGAGCCCGATGTTCTTAAAGAGGTGAAGCAGATGCTTAATCTTGGATCCGTGAAGTTTGAGGTGTGATTTTATTTATTTGTTTATATAATTTCTGCATCTGATTTAAATTTCTTTCCAAGATATGAACTTTTTGAGTAGTTTTTTGTATTCGTTTTTTTCTCCTCACAAATATTCAGGTTTCTACGTAAATTCATATACCTTTTGCATGGTTTTTCAATGTGCCAGCATAGAGAAGGTGTTTGGCATTTATGATTAGCAATTTAAGAATATATGGAGGTTAACTATTTTTTAGTATCAGTTCTATTTTCCAGTCCATGACTTTTTTCTAATGTCTTCTATGAGAAACTGCATAAAAAGTAGATAGAAGCAGTTACTTTTCTCCAAGTCTCTCTCTCTCTCTCTCTCTCTCTCTCTGTGTCCAGCTATAATCATGATCATGACCACCCTTGGCGTGTTAAGTCATCAAAAGTACCATTCCTACAATATGGGACTCTGGAGTCGTCTAATTTCCTAGATTTTTAAAACTATTACCGGATTGGAAAGTGAAGTTGGAGTCTCTTATCTGGGTAGGCTTTATGGAAATACAGTATGAAGCATGGAAAACGAGATTGTTGGAGGGCGTCTAAGAGTGCAAGTTCTTTATGAGGGAGTTTTATTACAAACTATGTGATGAACTTTTATTTCTTTGGAAAAATTGTGATTTAAAGGCCCCATTTAAGGTGCTGTCTTTTGCATGGACTGCAAACAGGGAGGCAGTCCTAATGACTGACAACCTGTGGTTTTGGGACCAGATCATGATGATATGCTGCACGTGTAGGGAGGCAGTAATGTGTGTTGGTAATTTAATTTTGAACTGCCGGGTTACTAAAGTTGTTGAATCTCCTAGTGTTTTTTTTCTTTGGAATGCCTGAATGTCATTAGCTTGTTGGAGTAGTGGTTTTTCTTGGAAAGTGAGGAAGGCATGTGATATTATCCTCCTATTCTATTGGGTGCTGAAGGAGCAGTACTGACAGTCTTTTGAGGGAGAGCATCTCTATTCATAAGTTGAATGGAATGAAAATGATCACTGTGTTTTTTTGTTCTTGTACTTCTTTCATTTTTTGTTTCTTTTCTTCCTTAATGTTGTCTTTATGTAAATATTTCGATAATTCTCATTTTATCTCCAATCGGTTCTCTTCTATTTGGTGTTTCACAAGTGACTACTTGATACGAGTATCAAGAAAATGTAGCTGCATTTTCGCTGGAATGCTTAGTTGAATCAACAAGAATTAATATCACAAAGCCTGATCTGCAATGTTGATTGAAACATTCAAATTTCCAATTTTAATAGCAATGGGAAAAGGTCTTGGTTATGGAAGCAGTTATTTCTGGGGAAAAAAGTTTCTGGTAAGCATGTGATAAACTAATCTGTAGAAATCTGTTGTAGGTGCCAACTGGCACTTGAAACCTCAAAAATGACCATGTTCTTTCATTTAACCAGGTGTTCGGTGCAAATGGCATTTGCATCTATATATAGCTTATTTCAGGAACACACTTTTTTTCTTCAATGTATGCAGCTGTTTGTTAGACTATCGGACCCTTTTAGACTAACAGACCCTTTTGGAGGAGTATTGAATACATTTCTTGAATAAGTAAATATCTTATAGACTTGTTTAGATACTTAAAATGTAATTCTATAGAAAAAGATGATGCATTTATCGTCCATAAGCTCACAAATTGGGACTTTGGAACAGGTATTGTGTGATAAGGACCGATCTCCGAAAAAGGTATTATCCTGCCTCTGTGTCCATTTACTTGTTTTTGTTTTCCTTGCGTACAGAACTGGAAAAAGGAAAGCCTTATAAACATCTTCAACACTATCAATATTTCAGGTTCCAGGAGTTGGCAGTCTTGATAGAAGAATTCTGGAAATTAATAGGAAGAGAATCAAGGTTGTGAAGCCTGGTTCTAAGACTTCATTTCCCACGACTGAGATTCGTGGAAGCTATGCTCCTCCATTCCATGTAAGTTTGTCTGATGCGGCTTTCATTTTATTTTTCTTTTCGGTTTCAAAAAACTTTGTATTATCTAAAATCAAAATTTTCCAGGTTGAGATTTTCCGAAATGACCAACATCGGCTCAAGATTGTAGTAGACAGTGAGAATGAAGTAGACTTGATGGTACAGACCCGGCACCTACGTGATGTCATTGTCCTTGTGATTCGAGGCCTTGCTCAGCGATTCAACAGTACATCCCTCAATTCTCTCCTCAAAATAGAAACATGACCTGCTAGTAAATATTTTGTAAATCGAGTCTCTCTCTCTATTCCCATTGTTTCATTTTGCTTTTATTGCATTGTTGTCGTCTGTATAAAACCTTATTTATATTTTTCTGTAATTTGCATGGAGTTGTGTGTAGTAGCCAGAAAATGTGGTGTCACAACTACTTTATATTATTATGTCATTGCTACTGTTCTTATGTTTGATGCACAAATCGTAATTTGTTAGAAACAATGGTGATTAGTTTATATATCCATTCTAAGTTTCTTTTTATTGGTTTGCGTGCTTCTTCAATGTGCACTGTTTGGTTAGTGAGAGAATAGTACAAAAAATGAATAGAATAGGTTTGGGAATTTGAATTTTTTAGGGAAAAATCGCTTTTATTCAGCTCTCTAAAATTTGCCCCTGTAACTACCCATCATGTTCAATGTGCCAGTGTAATCGTCAGTCACTCTCAACTGGTAAGCTTCTTGTGCACTCTACTGTTTGCATTATACTGCATCTTTATTAACGTTAATTTTAACCGTAAAATGGTATAACCTGAAGAATGATTGTGTGTGATGAACCATGGCAATGTCAAATGGGTTTGACTGAATGATGACTTGTATTTCATATTGTTGAATGATTGTGATGGCCTCTCACGCCAAGTCTCAACCAGATTGGATAGATATAGAGAAACCCCAAAACTTATCCACACCCTTCACAAGAGAGATTCAGATTTCACTTTGCAAATCACCGTGTAGAGGGGTGATTATTATATTATATACTATTGTATTAATAAACTTTATATTTGTGACTAATTCTTAGTAACGATTAATCTTCTACTATATTATATATACTATTATATTAATAAACTTTATATTTGTGACTAATTCCTATGATTGTGATTAATTAATCTTCATATGAGAGACTGTGTTTTGTTTGTACACAGGAGAATTAATACATGTGAGGGGTATAAAGATCCAACTAGTCAAGGCTAAAACAGTACTTTCAAAAAGTGAGTAAAAGCTTATTTGGAAAATTTGCAACAAAAAAGGAAAGTTTTGGAATTTTATCTTTTAAAATTAGTTGACTTTAGTCTTGGTCAACTAACGAAGGGGTGTCAGGTAAAGTCAATTAAAACCTCATGGGAGGGTTGATTGTTCATTACTATGGCTTGATGGTCTTATGTTCATTAATATGACTTGATGGTCTTATACTCTTATATTTGTATATGTTAAAGTACTACTTTAAAAATCTTGTTTCTGTTTTTTTTTTCCCTTCTAATTTTTCTATTATGTGGTAAACTGGTAATTAATATTTGTGTGGTTAAGAAACTGCCACTTCTTCATCTTCATCTTCTTCTTCTTCTTCTTCCTATCCTAGCTCTCTTATTTTAAACCTAGCATAAAATAGGATGTCTCTTTTTTGTTCCATGTAACTCCTTCAATCCAAAAGCATGGACCTTTGCAAGTTTTTTTATACGGATAAGTTTGTTATTTGGGTTTGGTATATGATTATTTTTCTACCTTTTATTGTGATTCGTCAACCAAAATTATGGCTTCTCCATTGTTGTACTTGACATAATTGTAATGCTATCGAAGAAGATGATTTTATGTAGCTCTATGGCAGTCATTCGTGGATTTAATTGAAAAGAATTATTTAACAATATCAATTAAGTAGTGTGCCACTTTAACCATGGTGCATTGGGATTAATTTGGCACTGCAAGAATGAGATTCAAACACTCACAAGGGTTACATAGTCATGAAACTTGCATAGTGGGCCCATTGAATAAGGGATCTCCTGGAACGGGTTCAATAACCGGGATTAAAATCGTCTCCGGCGCAACACTAATCTGTCGGAATTTTCTTCTTCAGTTCATCCACCTTCAGTCGCTTCAAAATTGGAATCAATATCCCTGTAGTGGAAGACGAGAAGAAATACAAATAGTGGAAGACACGAACGCTTTGTCTATATACACTTGTAATGCGTATTTAGTAAAAAAAAAAATTATTCTTTTTTTTGTCTTTTATTACTAACTGACGTGGCAAAATCCTAGACGCACATCTCTCACCGGCTGGGACATATTCCCTGTTGCGCCGGAGACGATTTTAATCCTCAAGATGCCATCCTCAACCCAACCTGTATTGTCATTAACATTTATTTTCTTGCAAAATAACCAAGAATCAGAAAACAAGAGGAACTTAAAATTGTTCTCAAATGATCACAAGTCATCCACTAAATATATAAACAGAAAACTATAAATATTATCAACCAAAGAGCAAAAAGTAGAGCAGAAAAAGTGCCAAAGAGCAAAAAGTAGAGCAGAAAAAGTGTATCACTGATTCACTCCATATTTACTTGCATTCCCAGCCTGTCTTATTGATTTGAGCAGTGATATTTAGGACCAAGAGTAAGGCGGACTAAGAGTTAGGGAGAATTTTTGGACCGAATACATTAATACAAGGGATAAAGAAGTGGAGGTTCTCATATTTTTGTATTTAGCATACATTGACCAATTAAAATAATTCGGTAAGATTCGTTTGGTTAGCGTGAAGTAAAAAAAATTTTCAGGTAAATTCTTTTGGGAAAGTGGGATTCCCACATCGATAAATTTTCTTAAAATATTTCCCCGCATAAAATACAAAAAAAATTTATTTCTCATACAAAACTGTCATTTTATTTCCAAATTTCCTATTATGCCTAGTTGTTTCTCCATTTTTTATTTATTAATATCTCATATATTAAATTCAGACTTAGAAAATATTTCAACAACTCATGTATTGTGACACATTTACCTAAAATTTTTGGAAATAAATTAAGAGTTGAATGGTAGAATATTAAATAATATAACTTTTAATTTTATTAATATCTCAATAGGGAGAAGAGATTAATTTGGGGCATCATATTATTTTCCATTGAGGAAAAAATAAATTAACAACCATAAAAAAATATATATATATAAAAATATTATAAAAAAAATTACATAAAATTATACGAAGGGGGACTAAAAAATTTGCATAGAAGTGGTTCATATTCATAAAAAATATGAAAGGGGACTGATAAATTATGTATGAACTATAAAATTATTATGCATGAACTATAAAATTGTTTGACTCTTTTTTTTTAGGGCGTGCCAGAGTCTTTAGATCCAAGGGGTTAGATAGCCAAACTATCCTTGGTGCTGACCGAATCTGAAATCAGCCCTTAGTGAACCAGGCGATTGCTAGAAGACAAGAATGACCTCTTCCTTCAGGTTCTTCAACGCTTCACTAAAGGACTTTCAGTACTATAGTAGAATGGATGAAGGGAGTAAAACAAATTATACGAGCATTCATCTATTCTAAGAGACTTATAAAATTAAAGTAGAGAGGACTAATACCAGACTGTATTGAATTGCAGATAATGAAAAACATCGATAAAGAAACAGGAAATTTGTGTTGGTCAGGGACCTTTTGCTCAAGACCCTCATGGTGCTATTTATAGATGTCTGGAGTAGCAGTTTCCATTTCAAATTCAAATATTATATTTGAATTGAAAATTTCCTTTGTTTTAAGCTTATTGGAATAAAACTGACGTAGGCAATTTATTGACTTAAGACTCCAATTTTATATAAGAGTTTCTTAAGATAATAATAATAAATTATTATCACTAAAAAGACACATCTTCTTCTTCCAATTAACTAATGATATGTGGCTGAATTAATATCTTTTCCTCTAATCAACCAACACCATGTGTCTAAATTGAAAATTAAATTTAGGGTGCATACAAAAATATGTTACTTTTGCATGACAATTTTTATCCTAGAGTTGCCATTTAATTTTTCTTCGAGGGGGCTTAAAAAAAGATATATTTAATAATTCAATAAAATATGAGTATATTATCATAAATGAACTATATTCTACATATAAATATAAATATAAATAATTATTATTGAAAACACAAAATAAAAGAATCCGGCAACTAAAATGCAGTCCTCCTTAGTTTTTCTAATTTAAATATGAGTGTAAATAATAATAATAATTATTATTATTATTAATAATCCATTATTTTATGATTAAACATGAGTATTTTATGATAAATGAATTATATTCTACATATAAATATAAATAATTATTATTGAAAACAAAAAATAAAAAGAATCTTACAATTAAAATACAGTCCTCCATTTGTCTGATTTAAATATGAATATAAATAATAATAATAATTATTATTAATCCATTATTTTACTATTTAATTGCTAAAAATTAATATAAATAATTGGGTATAAAGATGATTCATCCAACACAAAATTAATTTATTTTTTAATATTTGAAATCATGAGGGTAGTTTTGGTAAGTAAATCATTTTCTTTTCCCTTTCATACTATTCAAACTAAAAAAAATAATATTTTTCCGCAACTTTCTTGAAAAATTTTCTTGCTAATCAAATGCATGCAAGAAACTTAATTTTTCTTTCTTTCTCTTTCATTTTCTATCATAAATTTCCGTCTAACCAAACGGACCCTTAAGGGAATTATGCAACCTTAAAATCATTTTCCTATTGATTTATTTGTCACTCTTTGATTTTTTTTTATTTTTATAAATAAGGTAAATGACACTAACTTCCCCCAATGAGAACTTGCAACATAAACATGAAATTCAACATGCTTTGAACAATCAAAGTTGTCCAACATTCAATCAAGGATAAGAACTAAAAAGTAAAAGTTCATATTAGTGTACCTTGTAATGGGATAAAATTCAAATTCAGAACCCATCCTGAAAAAGGCAACTTTGAAAAAATTTCCCATTAAAATAACAAAATTTGCTACAACGTTGGTGGCAAAAAGAATAACATTAGAGCTACAATCATTGAGGAAAAGGGGGTAAAACAAAAACATATGAACAACAGGACCCAGAATTTCATCAATTACCGTCCGAGGATCCAATCTAAAAGCAACTACGTGAACAATGTGACAACATCCTTACGATATCCCCGGACAATTAAAAGCCTAGGTACATTTTCGACTAATAGATCCATGTACTCCATGTAGAAGTATGCTGGGTGGTTGACAGGTGGAGGTGGTAAACTCACAAGAACCACCGCAGCCATTCTCGAGTATCTCAAAATTGTTGAGTTCAGCTTCAATGTGGTGTAAAGGAACTTCTCCACCTGCTGCTCATTGACAACTACAGGCTTCCCGTCAGCCATTAGTTGTGTCCCTTCCCTCTGAGCTTTCTCCCTCATATCTGCTAAATATTTACCAATCCGCCGCTGAGCACCAGTAAATGCCTCCACTGACTCGTCTTGCTGGGCCCCACTATCCACTTGGACATCCCATGACTTCATCGTGACAACAATCACTTCAGCTTGCATCCGAAGATCGTATAGGAACTTCTTCACATCAGCCTTGAGCTCCTCTGCATTAGAATCCTCCTCTGCAATGCAGAAGACCTGAATCTTACAGCTCTCAAAGCTCTCTTTTGTAAGGAGGAGCTGGGACAGAAGCAACATGAGACCACCATCTCTCACAATCCAATACAAGTCAATAGTACCATACTGCCTCTGATACTCATTAGGCCACTCATCGAGACCCTTGACAATAACAACCGCCTTGTTTGCAACAATGCAGTCATTAATTATTCCTACAAAGGTGGTTGGGATTTCAGTAAGGTTTTCACGACGCCAGATTTCTGGGTAACGCATCACCACGATATTGGGCTTGAGGTTGCCTAGACCAATGGTTTGGATAATGCCACGGAAGCCATCTGACATGCTGGGTGCTACAATTATCTCTGCTACACCTTCACACCGTTTGTAGTCAATGTAGGTACTGAGCTGCTTGCAGGCAGTCTTTGCATCTTCAGCACACTCGTGGTAGTCTCCATCTAGGATAGAGAAAAAGATGGACATTCCTCGGCCTTTTTTCTTCATGCAGTTGGCGAAGTCAGCAAGTTTAGGATGGCAGGGTACATTCTCTGGCAGTTTACCCCACGGCCGGCAGAATATAAGGGGTATTGGGTACCAGTTCTTTGGGTGAACTTGGTTTGCTGCATATACAAGTAGAGGTTAATTACAAGAACCCAACATAGATCCACTATAAAGTTTAAAAAAACAGAAAACCTATACTGTAATAAGAATGCTCGTCAATTCAAGTTCTTCACCAAACAGGATAGGAGAAAAAGTTTGGGACATGAACAGGATAGTTCAAGATTTTAAAGGTTGTGTATGCCTTTGCTTTTACCGCCTCTTTTTCCCTTCCTATTTAGAGAAAAGTAGGAATAAGTCCTACTTTCCCAATGTAAAGACCAAAAGGTCCTAACAAATTTTAATAAGATCAGTAAACCTTCTTTTGCAGAATAATTCCAAAAAATATATTCTAGTTAGACTTCCAGTTACCATGTTTGCATTTTCATAATTGTGAAAAATATATCCACTGCACAAATTTGAAATTTAACGAATTATTTGATCAGTGGTTTTTTTTTTTCGGTAAATAATTATTTGATCAGTAGCTTGACTCTTAGTTCACTTTTTTTTTACTGGTTGGTGCAATGGCTATCTTGGTTATCAAGCTTAAAAATGGATATTTAAGTACGAGGGTGGGCATTCATTGCAAAATAAAACATGAGTTAGGTTATGTCCACCTTTCCACCACCCCCACATAGGTGGGACTGATACTGGATAGTATTCTTTTTTCACCTTTTGTTAAATTTTTAAAAAGAATGAATTGAATAACTTTTAAAAACTTGTTTGCATTCAAGTATTTTAAACTACAAATCTGATAACTGACACTTTAGACAGCTTCAAACAAGCACGTAGAAAGATCTATTCAAACATTTAATGCAACATATATACACTCAAATTTTACAAAATAAAAATACAAACCTCCTAAAGATCGAAGACTACGGAGTGCCAGTTGAAAGTATGCACTCTTGAAACCATCACCCCAGTCCCCAGCTTTCCCCTTGATACTCACATAATAATATATGAGGCTCACTAGGGCTAGAGACACCACAGTGAATGACCAAGAAATCAAGAACATGATCACTGCAAGAAAATAACAGCATCAGATAAAATATGATACTTAGATACCGGGCATATCCACACACACACACTGGCAGGATCAAGCAGTCTATCGCATCCATCCTACACACCCCTCAGTAGACTTGACAAAAAGCCCTAACTTTTATGGCAAAATTAGATACAATGTTCCTAGGACACGAGTCCTTCCTTAATCCACACACTAGTATCCATGCATTGACGGACAAGCCCAAACTTATTCACTTCAACTCAATCCCAACAGTAAAATCTAGTGAGGGAAAAAAACAGAAAAAAGAAGAGGGGACTCTGCTGACATGTACAGCAATATTCTCTAACCAAATTCCCAAACTCTTAACTATTAAGTCCACCAACATACTGATATTTGGATTTCTAAAAGCATCTGTAACTAGCAGCCCTACCCGCCACTAGCAGGTAGGCATATTGATGGTGAGCCCCAATCTCTCAAATGTAAACCAGATTAACACGATTCAGTACTCTCAGTTTGGTAACAGAGTCAGATATTTTAAAAGATTTTTTTTTCCCTGCAGGAAGAAAAGGCAAATCTAATAGCCTTGTCTAGTTTCTCTCTAGACAATTAAAAAGTGCATGATTCCAATTATTAAAAAGTGCATAAAAAAACTAGAAGTGAAATAGATTAAGAAGCATACCAATACAAAGTGATGCTCCAAGAAGAGAGAGGCTCCAATGGTGAATTTTCCACCTAGGACGCCAGCTGGGAGCATCTAAAAGATCCAGAAGGAAGCAAGATAAGTTCACACCCGCGTAACATAGGAGGAAAAACATAGTTACGGTCGGGGTGATTAGATCCAGATTCCCAATTATGACACACCCAATACAGAGAAAAGCAGTAAAGAGTGTAGCAATGTGAGGCTCACTCCCATCTGCAACCTTGAAGTAGTTAAGAACAGGCAGAATGTCATCATTGGCTATTGCTGCAAGCAGACGTGGGGCACCAGTCAGGCTTTGAAGGGCTGCGCCTAAGGTTGAAAGAATTATTCCGATGTATATGAGTGCTGGAAAAGGCCAAGCAACTGTAGCTGTAAGCAACCTGCATGAGTATCTCAGTTATGCCCTAAATTGGTGAAAGAAAATCAATTCAACTTCACACAACCATCTGTTTTTAATAAGCCCTAAAACATGGGCAGCCATAAAATTGTAGAAATTATCGAGGAATTAAATTAATGAGTCATACTATGAAATTATGGGAAAGGGTAATATAACAAAGACTAAAGGAAAGAATGTACACTGTCCGAAAATCAATTTGGATTTATGTCGGAGATCCACTATAATGGCCATTTACCTATCAAGGCCATTAGTAGAAGATTGTAGAAGCAAGCAAAATGATCTACAACATGGTTTTTGTTGACTTGGAGATAGAGTTCCAAGAGACATGTCTATAAAGGTTTGTAGGCGTTACTAAATTATTTTCAAATGAGTAAATGTGACTTATATATAACCAAAAAAAAAGGGAAGGAGCAAACCAAAACAAGCTCATAACAGAAGTACAAAGCATCTAGAAACTCAACAAATACAAAATACTCCCTGTGTCCCATAATAAGTGTCCAGCTCCCAAATCAAAAAGTCAATGTACTATTTTTACATCATTCCCAATTTACCCTTCTTGCATTGAACTTATAAAACAAAACATCATCACATCACTTGGACCCACCATGGATAGATCTGGTAATTCATTCACTACCAATACAATAAAAAAAAATATTAAAAACTACTTCTTAAAAAGTTAAGTTCCCAAAAAGGGACACTTAAATTGGGATGGAGGGAGTATCAGAGTATTCTCATGAAGTCCAAAAACTGCAAAGAGGCTGAAATTGTCCTCCTCAATTCCCTAATATACACCTCCTCCTTGAAGGTACTACGGCAACTCTTCCTCTGAGTCCTCCACATGAATCCAAAGCACCCAAATTCAACTAGCAATGTTGGCATAACACAAAGCACACTGAACGGAGATAGGACCATGCTCCAAAGCTCTATAACAAGCTTGTAGTGAATGAGAAGATGACTAACTGATTCTTCTGCCTTTTTCACATGAAACGCCAATTTAGGGAGAATTTTCTTGACATCAAGATTGTTAATAATAGTCAAGACAGCATCCAGGACTGCTAAACAGACAAAAGACACCTTTGAGGATACTTTAAAGAACCAAATGTTTTAGCACCCTAAAAAGCTCTTTTGACAATGTTCAATGTCTTTATACACGAGTCAACATTTCTCAATCCTACTATGCCCTTTCAGTCTCGTGATATCACCACTCACAGATAAAGATGAATTATAAAATGCAAAGCTATAAATTATTAACTATCAAGTGTCAAGACATTGTAATAAAGATGAATTATAATTATATTTTACTTTCACTTCTTTCCCAAAAAATAAAAAATCAGATTTTCGGGAAATTCAGTAGTTTTCTTTTTTTTTTTTCCATAAATGTGACGATTTACATTAACAAAAATAAGCCTCTTCAGTACAATGGTGGAACTTCATTAGTTACTTAACATGTTTTATATTTTATCAGAAAATATATAATTTTAATATGCTTATTTATTTTTCAGAAACAAAAAATCCATAAATTAATTTTTTCTTGAATAAATTAAAAAATAAAATTGTGGTTTGATTTGGCATTTTAAATAGTTCCACATATATTATATTTATTAACATCATTTAATGTTATATATGAATTAAAAACAAAAAAGTAATACAAAATCAAACTTTTAGCATTTTCGAAAAAATAGAATAAAAATTCAGCCATTGCACTGGATTCGTAAGTACTTCCACTTAAGCATGTTGCAAGACAATGAAATTTATTTATTTTGCTTACTTTTAAAAGAATATATAGAGAACTACAAAAACAAATGAGTACACACATAATTAACAATTTAACATAAACATCTAGATCTGCCACAAATCAAAAAGAATAAACACAATTACTTTTAATTTTTTAAATAACTAAAATACAAGTGAAACTCAGCTATCTATTTTTGCAAAAGAAACCCAAGTATCAAACTAAGAAAATGACACTATTTATTATCGAGATGCACAATTATTTGACATTTGATTATTGGAGAATGAAAATTTTAAAATATGACGTCATTATGCAGAAATTTGGAGTTGAGTGGCTGCTTCATCATTGGGAGAGGAAAATGTGAAGAACAGAGCGGGATTTGCTTCCAAATAACCCATTTTTCCATGCTGAGAATGAGAAGGCATTGAACCTATGATGTCCAGCGGTATAGCAAGACGCCTTGAGGAACATCTTGGGCAATACGCACCAGACATCCTGCCACCTGCAATAATGCAGCAACAGCATTCGTCTCCCTCTTTTTTGTAATGCATCACAAATACGCTTTTGAACCCCCGGCAAAATCCAAGATGACTCAATTGAGTCATCTCAATAATGGGCAAGAGAGTTCAAATGTTTTTTTCAGAATGGCTAGCCATATAAGACATACACCGAATGAACCAATAGTAGCAGAACAAAAAGTACTCACCAAGGAATACCTAATAAAACAGTGTCACGGACAAGGACACGGACACGGACATGTCTGACAAAAAACTATAACTTTAAGACATTGTATGAAAGAATACCTGTCTGTCAAAAGTTTATCTCTGGTTGCCAGAGCTCCAAATAATAACACAGAAAATAGATACATAGCAGAAGTCGTGAGAGTTGCAGCCAGTGTTCCAACAGGAATAGATCGCTGGGTGTCTTTAAGTGATGCAGAGCGATTTGAACCTGCCATAATTCCCGTTACAGCAGGGAAAAAGAGACCGACCAATGCACTGACAGTAGTGAAAATTATTGTAGTTAGAAAGCCAGGAAACAAGTCAACAACATTCCAAATCCATTTATAAAAAATCAGCATGGCATACTTCAGAGGAACACTAATTGACAAACATCAAAGTCTTGTCACTGGGGTTAGAAACATTTGCAACAGAACAACAACCACCAAGTCGATTTGAAACTGCTCCAGCGGTTGTAAAAGAAGCACACAGCTATTAAGAATCTCTTTAATTCTTATTAATTAAAAAAAAATGCAAAATTCTCTAACAAAAACTTAGATGAATAGGATGAAGAAATACACTGAATTCCCTATGCCAGGCTATTAATAAAATTTCAATTCCTCACCAGAGTCCTGGAATCTGGATGGTAGGTTCATAATGTTACCTAAAACCTGCTAGCAGAGTTCATCTGGATATAATCATATAATTAGATCAAGAATGTCCTATATTCTCTCTTTGTGAATACCACAAAGGTGATGAGAAACTCCTGTAACATTTCCCATTGATTGCCAGCTTTAGGCAGGTCATAGAGCTACAAGTATGACATGTAGGAAAAGGCGATGTAGAAAGTACCTTTTAGCTATAATAATAATAATAATAATAATAAATTGAAGGATTTCACGTTTTACAGAGTCTCCAACCATGAAGCAAATGCAACTAACAAAGATGAATATATTATTATCCAGATAACTACACTAATTTTACATTAAATATAATTGACCAAATAGTAAATACACAGAATGATAGAAGATAAAAGACTCTAGAGACCCCATAGTTTAACAACCCCATGTACTGGGCTTACAATGTCAAAATGATCCAAGAAAAGGATCAACATGCAACACCAATTCCTAAGTAAATATATCAAAACCCAGCATTTGACACATTTATATGGAATAAACTCATACAAGCCAACATTATATATCGACAGTACCTAGAATTATTGGCATGACTTACTTAAAATTCCAATATATCTTTCCCTCAGGATCAGGTATTCCAGCATTGTTAGTCGTTTGATAATCTGGACTCCAGTTTCCTTTGAAAGTGTCCAAACTCAAGCCCGTGATTCCCGCTGCATCAAGCATTCCCAAAAGAAGAAGTAAATTCTTTTATTCAAGGAATATGTGATTTCATAAAGATGCATATAGAATAACAAAATTAAGGCAAACAGTATCAACATGCTAGAAAGCTACAAGCCTACAGCACAATATTCACATCAAGGAAGTGCAGGACACTAATCATTCCAAACAACCTAGAGCAGAAGCTGACATAGCCTAATGATTACCATATGCCTAAAATACGCTAATGCAATTTCCAGAGGACCATTCAAAATTCTGTACAAAGCTAATAAAGGAGAGTGGGGAGACTAAGTTAGAATGCACAAAGTACAAGTCATAAAGTTGTTTGGTTTGATAACTAAGCTGCATTAAACCTCTCACGAGACAAGCACCAAAACTTTTAGCCTCCTACCAATCAGACCATAAAGGAGACACATTGACACAGGATACAGATTCAAAAGAGCATGGATGCATGAAATAAAGGACACAGAAAGGCAAACATGACAATAAATATATTTATAAACATATATGATAAATAATGATTTTTTTTTTAGTTAATTAAATATTCTAACTTCAATATTCAAACTCAAGTGTAGTTCTATACTATTTTAAAAGGGTTGTATCTCAAATTTTCAATGTCTGAGGCAATTTGAACATGTGCCCTATGAGTTTGAAAGATAAATGTTCATTTACATATGGATAATACGTCCAGTAAGCATTCAAGCATTAATCTAGGATTATTTTCGAATTGGATTCATTCCCAATATCGATACTGCTCCTCAAAGAAGTGTGTGCGCTACACAGGGAACAGGTCGTAAAATTATCTTCTTTTAAATTCAATATTTTTCATTAGAAAGCAAATTGATCAAAAATCAAAAGCTATAAAGACCACACTTTCAAACATGCCAACTTATTTCCTGTCTCTGTTCTAGATCCCTGTTTCAGTGAGAGAGGATAGAGAAACTCCAACGGAACTTCTTGTGGGATAGCCAGGTAGGATTGGGGAGGAGTTTAAGTATCACCTCGTTTGCTGGGATCGGGTTTGCAGGCCTCTACAGGAGGGCGGGCTGGGGATTAGGAGACTTACCCCCTTCAATACAGCTCTGTTGGGCAAACGGTTGTGGAGATTTGGGGTGGAGAGGAATCATCTCTGGAGAAGGGTCATTAGTTTGAAGTTCGGGGAGGAAAGGGGAGGGTGATGTTCTTTATAGGTGCGGGACTCGGCTGGTGTTGGTGTTTGGAAATCCATTCGGAAGGGTTGGGATGAGTTTTCAAAACAAATTCGTTTCAAATTTCGTTTTGGGAGGATATTTGGTGCGGGAATCGCTCTCACGCCCGCATCTACCCGAGGCTTCACAGGATTGTGACAGATAGACATGCCATGGTTGCCAACTGCTATTGCCTTGATGGTGGAGGGCTGACATGGGATGTGCAATTCGTGAGGCATTTCCAGAACCGGGAATTAGAAGACATCTTTAATTTCTTGGCAATGCTGTATCACCAGAAGGTGGAGGGTACAAAGATGGATGAGTGGTTTGGACTCCCACTTCTCAGGGGAGGTTCAAAGTTCAATCCTTTTATTCGAGCCTGGTGAGTACACAGTCTCTTCCTTTTCCATGGAGGGCAGTGTGGCACATCAAAGCCCCTCTGACGGTGGCCTTTTTTGCATGGACAGCGGTGTTGGGCCAAATTCTTACGACAGACAACTGGAGGAGGGGGCAGACCCTTGTGAACCGGTGTTTCATGTGCAAAGCGGCTGAGGAGAGAGTTGACCATCTTATCCACTGTCTGATGGCTAGAGATTGTTGGGATATGCTACTATACATCTTTAGAGTTCAGTGGGTTATGCCCCTTTCTTCGATAAATGCTCGAGGAATGGAGGGGCGGCTTTGTGGGAGCCCAGGTCCGTGTTGCCTGGACGGTTGCGCCTTTGTGCTTGTGGTGGTCCCTATGGAAAGAAAGAAATAGGAGGTCCTTTGAGGGAGAGGAAACCCCTATTAGTGCGCTTAAGTTCTCTATTCTTAGTACTTTATTTTTTTGGATTAGGGGGAGATTTTGTAATTCTATAGGGGAGACAGTGGACTTTGTGGATACCATGAGTGTGTATTGTGTAAGGGCATTATTTGGCCCTTGTGTAGTTCCTGGGATGCAATCCCCTTTTGAGTGCTGTCTATAATACTTTATTTATCAAAAAAAGCTATAAAGCATTCAGAAAGCAAAACAGACCATAAAATGTCCATTAACTATAGATTCTGTTACAATTATTGCCCAGAAATTTCAGACAAAATATTCCAATTGAATAAGAAGGATTTGTTTTCTGCTCAATTTTCTAGAGACTGAGAGAACAAGGACTCTTATCACTCAATAGAGAAGCTCCATACAAAAGCATAAGAAGCAATCAAAGACCATCAATTCTCTGGAATTGTAGAGATTCTCCAAACTAAAAGTAGATCAACAAAAGAAGACCTCAATCCAACAAAAGGTCCATATACTCTTCTTAAGCAAGCATACTGCATACATGTTTATGAACCTTAACCCCCAAGAACAATTTTCTATCAAACAATGAAAATGCCACACTAAAAGATAAATTTATTTATTTTTTGATAAATAAATAAATCATTAAAAAAGCGTTCAAAGGGGGAACATGTCCCTAACAAAACCACAAAAACCTTGGTACCCTAAGGCCCCAAGGAAGCCAAAAACTCAACAATCTCCTCAGCAGAAGAGCAGAGTCTACCCGAACCCCGAAAAACAAAGAGAGCTAATAACAGAAGATTTCAGAACAGTGATGGAAGATTCCTCTCATTCAAAGGATCTTCTATTCCGCTCCCTCCACAAACACCACCAAAGACACAAAAGCGCCATCCTCCAGAACCCTCGAGCCTGTGCTCCCACCCAACCCACTCTCCAGGTATCCATCAAGCCTCTCGTAGATCTAGGTATGACCCAACAAACTCCAAATAAACCTAGCAAAAGGTTCCAACAATCAATCGCCACTGGGCAATGCAAGAGAAAACGATCAACCGACTCGCCATTGTATTTACACATGCAACACCAATTCACCGTGATAAGCTTTCTCCTTCTCAAATTATCCAACGTCAAAATTTTACCGCACACAACCATCCAAGCAAAAAAGGCCACTTTCAATGGTGCCTTAGTGCGCCACACAGCCTTCCACGAGAATACCACCCCATCCGAGTCCACAAGGCATCCGAAAAAAGATCCCACACTAAACATTCCCTAGCAAAAGAAATCCAAACTAGAGAATCCCTTCCTCCTTCCCGAATCACCTGGCTATACAACAACTCTAAAAAACCAACACATCAACCATCTCCCAATCCTAAAAAGATCACTAAAACAACACATCCCAAACCGGTCTCCCGCTATCAAGACGATAGCAGTCAGCCACCAAGGCATGCCTATCCGCCGCAATCCTAAACAGTCTAGGGAAAGAACATGCTAATGTGCGGTCTCCACACCACACATCCTCCCAAAACCGAATCTCCCTACCATCATGAACTCTGAATCTGATATGCTTAGAAAACTCATTCCATCCCTTCCGAATGTATTTCCAAATACTCTAAAAGGGAAAAGAACATCAATAAAGGAGTATCAATGTGGGTTGGGAGTGTCATTCAAGGGCAGGGAGGCTGAGGCGAGGAGTTTGTTCATTGATGTTCTTGATTCTCATCTCAAGAAAAAGGGAGGGTGGTAGGGAAAGGGTGCAGGAGTTAGTGATGCGGGGGTCCAATGATCTTTTCACGTATGAAAGGAGGAATAGGGGATCCAGGGAGAGGGTTGGTGGAAGGAGGGGTGGGTTTGCTTCTTCAGTTGTTTCCCTATGAAGCTACGTATCATTTCATGGAATGTTCGGGGTCTCAATGACCCAGTTAGAAGAAAAGTGGTGAAGTTAGTCATTCGTAAAGGGGGAGGTCATGTGGTTTGTTTACAGGAAACTAAGCTTGCATCGATGTCAGATAGAATGGTGCGAAGCCTTTGGGGAGGGAGATTTGTGGAATGGTTGGCTTTGGATGTTGTTGGGTCTTTGGGGGGCATTCTGATCATGTAGGATAACAGACGGGTGTCTCTGGTGGACTCTCAGGTTGGGAGTTTCTCTGTTTCTTGTGTTCTCTCTCTGCTGGAGGATGGTTCTCATTGGGTTTTCACTGATGTTTATGGTCCTACGGAGGATAGTGAGCGTCATTTGCTTTGGGAGGAGTTGGGGGAGGTTAGATGCTTTGGGTTCTTCCGTGGTGTGTTGGAGGGGATTTCAATGTTGTTCGTTCTCCATTAGAGAGATCTACAGGGGGGAGGTGGACTTTTGACATGGAGTCCTTTTCGGAGTTTATTGATGAGTTTGGGTTGGTGGATTTTCCTTTGCTTGGAGGGTCGTTTACTTGGTCTAGTGGCAGATCTCCTCCTACTCTTGCTCGACTTGATAGATTCCTTGTGTCGGGGGAGTGGGATGAGAGATTTTCTGATGTTGTTCAGGCTACGTTGGCTCATCCTATCTCAGATCATGTTCCGTTGATGTTGAATTGTGGCGGATTGCGTAGCAGACGTTCTCCGTTCAGATTCGAAAATATGTGGCTTCGGGCTGAAGGTTTTTTGGAGAAGGTTCGCCTTTGGTGGGAGGGATTCGGGGTGGTTGGCACCCCAATTCATGTGCTCGCAAGCAGTTTGCGTCTTTTAAAAGGGAATCTTAAGATTTGGAACAAAGAGGTTTTCGGAAATATAGAATGGAGGAAAAATCGGGTTCTTGCTGAGATTGCTAATATTGACTGGATGGAAGGCCAAGGGGATCTAGTGGACTCTCTGAAGGTTAGAAGGGCGGAGTGTCAGGCTGATTTTGCTAAGATTGCTATCATGGAGGAGATCTCGTGGAGATAAAAATCTAGAGCTTTATGGCTCAAGGAGGGGGACAAAAACACAAATTTTTTTCACAGATTGGCCAATACTCATAGAAGGGGCAATCATATTGGGAGAATTCGGGTGCAGGGAGTGATTCTTTGTA